TATTTTAAAACTGCTGTTCTACCATATAATGGCCTCAACAGTTGGTCTTTGTAAAGTAGGTTTGTAAACCATTACCATCAATTCCTGTATTTACGTTTTTTTTTCATACATTTGTAATCTGATTTACTTTCTTATGTTACCTGCACATTTGACCCATTTCTAAGGAATATTTATCGTTTGGAACAGTTCCAGAAAAATAGTATTCACGTGGTCCAGTTTTAATGTATTGGTGTATGTAGAGCGTTGCAAATATGAACCTGGATTTGTGATGAAAACGGTGCCGCTATGATTTATGACCTGACTGTCTATCTTTTATAACAAAATGTCTAGGAAAATTCATTCAGATCCGTGTGGTGACGGATTAAGAATAGAGAGTGTTACCACCCCTGTTCATCCCGTGGGTGTCGTAAGAGAAGACTAAGAGAGAAAACTACGCAGCACAACAGCACTGCAGAGAGAAGGAAAACTTGACACAAACACTATACCAACCCGTTTGGCCAGCGTGGTAAAGTAGGCCAAAACCTCCTTTCTAAGGAGAGGCTTATGTCCAGCAGTGGACTAATAAAGGCTGTTGATGTGATGTGATGTGAATTCATGGAACTCACACAAAGAACAACTACAACAAGACTCAGAACAACAATTTGTGGATCACACAAATACAGAACTGTTAGAGCAATAGGAAGCGGCCAGGTGACCGCTTAAACCACTACGCCATTCGTGCAGTCTAAACTACTCAGAGCCTGTATTATGGTAACCAGACTGGTGATGAATATACTTAGACAGTTCCTAATACAAACATATTTGACTAGATATATAAATTTACCAAAATAAAGTGTCAATTTCCTTCTATTCGTGCTTTGCTGAAGTTCTTTTTCTTTTTTTTCAGATGACCAGTGATCAAGTGACGTGATAGTGCCTGAATAGACTGTGATCATAATAGTGAAGTGTTAGAACTATAGACTTGTAACAGTGCTCGTCGAGTGAGATGTGTATACACAGAACATTTAGCGTGACAAAGAGGGAAGATATCGGCAAGTGAGAACGCGTCGTGGCAAGGGTGAGTACTGGTTTTAGCAGAATTAAGAAGCTGGGAGATCCGTGCTTTTGTATATATAATAATAATAATAATAAACATTTATTTGCGAATATGGGTACAATAGTAAAGTTGTTACAAAGGTAATTTTGCGTTCCTTCATATTCCACCTTGTGGCATGCAAATATTTCAATATACTTTTGTTTATATTACAATTTCACTAAAACATTTCAAACATAATCTAGACATAATTCATGAGTCACGTCTATATAAAAATTACATGAAAAAATATGGGCTGTGTAGTGCTCGTACTAACACGAGGGTTAGGTATTGGCTCATTACGTTACTAGCAGCTAGGGTCAACACGTCCGCTCTCGCCAACGGCTTACACGCGACTGTCTCCCGCCTGCCTGTGCACGTGACTTTCACGTGGCCTCACAAAAAACCGGTGTTAAGCAATACGTTATAGGATGCCCCTCATCCAAATCCAGGCAACGTTCTTGTGGGTCCGGATGTTTTACTAACAGCAGTTCCCTGATCCCTCCTATTTCAGGCGCAGAGTGACACACAGTTTTAGTCGATCCGATTGCGACACACCATCAACCACCACCTCCATAAAAAGGCAACGTATTTGTGTATCTTACGTTGCAGTTGTCCATGGGGCGTTGGTACTCATTTACTATCAAGTGATACATCATGTTGGATCTGATCCAAGATACCAAATTCTAGTATATCATTAATGTCCATGTGGTGACGGATTTAGAATACGGAATCGCCACCCCTATTTATCCCGTTGGTGTCGTAAGAGACGACTAAGGGAGCAAACGGACAACTTGAAACAAACCCAATGCCAACCCGTCTGGCCAGCGTAGTATAGTAGACCAAAACCTCTTTTCTAAGAAGAGGCTTATCTCCAGCAGTGGCTTACTTAAGGCTATTAATGTGATGTCATTCAAACTACATTTATATGCAAATACATGCAATTTAACATCCAGATACGACAATTAGAAGTAGGTTAAAACTAACTTCCAAAATTTGTTATGTGTTTATATACACAAGCTTTTGCCCGAGGGTCCGCCCGCGTAAGTATCGGTCATTGCCGTATAAAAGTAAACCATGTCTTTCCTCAAGAATCAAAGTATTAGGTTATTGATTCCCCGTACAAATTTCCACCCCCCTTTTCTCCCCCTTTAAGGTATGTTTACTAGGATAAAAACTACTCTGTCTGTGTTTCTAAACTGTCCTTTCCCGGGACTCGAAAGATCTCTGTACCAAATTTCATCTAAATCGGTTCAGCGGTTTAAGCGTGAAAAGGTAACAGACAGACAGACAATTTTCGCATTAATACATACGTAATATTAGATTGATATTAGTACAGATGTCATACAGTGTCATTCAGAGATCGGCAACGTATTAGTTACTCCTTAGTTGCAGGCGTCCTTGGGCGGCGGTAATCGCTTACCATCAAATGACCCGTCTACTTGTTTGCTCCTTATACCATGAAAAAAGAAACTTACAAAAAATACAATCCATTTACTTCTACAAATATTGAGAGAGAAACGATTTGTTTGTTTGTAATCAATAAACACTGAAACCACTGAAGCGATTTTAATAAATCTTTCGTCGTTCGAAAGCTATTTTATCCGGAATTAACGAAGTATTCATAAACACGGGTTTAAATATATTTTATTACGTCTAAAAGAGATGCTTACTTTGTTTTTTGATTGAACACGAATTTGGAATTACGCGTCTAATTCAGTAAGTTATTTTTAACATGCTTTTTAGGGTACCTCTAAAGGTAAAAAAGGAACCCTTATAAGATCACTTTCTTGTCCGTCTATCCGTCTGTTCGTGTGTCACCACCGATTTTCTCAGGAACGGGTAGACCTAGCAAGTGCAAATTTATTATTTATTTATTTAGGTGTATAAAAATCTAGGTCCTGAGTCAACACGATATAAAGATATGGCTAAATTTCGATTTTCGCGAAAACTTGTAAGTAGGTACCAAAATTTACCTTAATTTTCAACTTTTTTAATTTTTCAGAATTTTCTCTTTACTTGACCTTGAGACCTTGCTTTTAACCAAAATTGTCAATTCTAGGTCAACCGGAAGTACCCTATAGGTTTTGTGTCGAAAACCTATATTGTACTTCCCGTTGACGTAGAATCACGAAATTTGGCAAAAAGAAACGTCTTACAGCACAAATTAAGAAATAATTCCAAAAAAATAAAAAAGTTGAAAATTAAGAAAAAATCTACGTAAAATCTGGGTAGGTACGGAACCCTCGGCGCGCGAGTTAGACTCGTCCCTGTCCGGTTTTTTTAACTTGCAACTAACTATGTTAACAAATCTTTAGAGTTAATTTTAACCTCCTAATTATGGTATCGAAATAAAACTTAGTATCCATATGTAGTGTGGATGGGTGACCATTCTTAATGCCGTTAAGCCGTCGGTCCTGGTTGCCATTCTAAAACATCTGCGGCAATTGTTACGGGTAGTAGGAACCCTAAAAAGTCCGACAACAGTCTTGTTACAGAACTTCGATGTCGCCTATAACCCGGCAATCTCGTGCGCGACCGTCCCGCGGGGTGACAGACAGTGGCTGGGGCTAGGTAGCGCGTCATTCTAGCACACGGCTACACGGGTTTCCCTTCCCCGCTACACCACCCGCTACCCGCTGACATCTTGAGTACCTCGTCCCCGCCACCGTCTGGAGGATTATGGAGGTTTGATCGCAGCCGATCTGCGTTCAAAAATCGAAGTTCAACCATATCGTAGTAGGCTCAAAGCCGACGCCAACCTGGTTTGGTAAAAATGCTCGGAGAAAAAAAATTTGTGTGAATGACACAACTTAAATATACCGAATATTTCAGCCATGCTTCAGAACATATGGGCCAGACTTGATCCCAGTGATTCTACGGCCTCACAGAAAACCGATGTTCTGCTTATCACCGTAAGGTTACCGGAGCCCAACCCTGAAGGGACTGAAAAGGCGGCAACGCACTTGTGAGCCAGAGCTCACACATGACTCACAGTTGCTGGATTCACTCATAGCCTGGCTTAATGGCGGGAATTGCAGGTGTCCATGGGCGGCGGTAATCACTTACCATCAGGTGACTCGTCTGCCTGCTCACCTTCTATATCATAATAAAATATTGGAGCTGATCTGATGATGGACCTAAGAGATAGTCACTGGACATCATTATTGGTTACCAGAAAATCCCTAGAGTTTGTGTAATTCGTCCTAACATCGATAGCTGTACCTACTTAATCATCTCGCCTCTCCGGAAGATGAAGTATCTTCCGGCGAGGCGAGCTGAGCTTTGTGTTGTAGGAACAAAACACCCGTTTCTTCCAAAAAGCCACGAGGACAGGAACGTCACTCACTAGCCATTAATAGATTTTCATTATTTATGGCATATGGATCAAGGGAGGGGCTCGTGGCTGAGTGGTAACCGAGTAGGTTAGCACAATACAAAGTTAAACAGTTACAGGCAGGTCAATCTATGGATGAGTGACCATTCTTAACACATTCCTCTCACAGTGCTTCGGGGAGCACGTTAAGCCGTCGCGGCGTCGGTCCCAATTGCCATACGAAAATCTGTGACAATCGTCACGGGTATTTGAACCCTAAGAAGTTCGACAACAGTTTATCTACTAAATTCGATATCATCTAGTACTTGGGTTGAGCCAGTCGCTCCACGTATAAAGATAGAAATTCAACCGTGGCGTAGTGGACTAAAAGCCGACCCCAACCAAGTTTGGGCAAAAGATCGGAGGATAGCATTTTTTTTTAATTTAAAATGACAACTCCCGCATTAGGAATATATCCTGTGTCGCGGGGGACTTTACAAACATACATGGCACGGACACAAAGAACACCCAGACTCAGAACAACAATTTGTGGATCACACAAAACCTTGTCCTAGTGCATATGGATTAAAAGTTCATTGTTCTTCTTTGCAGATGGCGCACTATCTACAGCCCGCTAACCTCGAGGCGGCCCTCCCACTGCTCAACAGGCCAGATCTTCGCCTACGTCAGCAACTTGGTGAGCAGCTCACAGCGCTTGTGCGCCGCGAGCCAGAGCTCACACATGACATCGCGGCACAGTTGCTGGATTCACTCATCGCCTGGCTTAATGGGGGGAATTTTAAGGTAAGGTTTGTGATGTGGTTCTTTTTGGTGTATCGTTCTTCAAAAGGTAAAAAGGAAAAAGGATATTATTGTTTTCTTCAAAAAACTTTTCATCATCATCATCAGCACTATTGCACGCCATAGATCGATTTTGGGCTTCTCGCAACCAGCTTCTGCCAGCTTTCAGGAACGCATTCAATTCTATTTATTTGCTATGCATATTTGCAATACATGGGTGAATAAAATTAAATTATTAGTGTTTCTTGATCCTGAGCCTAATGTTGTGGTTTCGATTCCTACACAGGATAAATTTACCGTGGAACAGCTATGCTTCTTCACAAATGGGCCGGCTCTAACGGGGTGTTAGTACAGCTTTATACAAAACCGCTAGTAAACAATTATTTCGTTGGTATTCACCGACTTTAACGGAAAGGTTAGCTTTGCCCAAACCCCTCCTCCCGCAGATTCTGGGGAGGGCCATCAGGTCCAGCTTATAGGGTAGTCTATACGCTGGACCTAAAAATAAAATATATGTAGTGATGACTAAATATAGGTCGCTGATTCGATCGACCTTACATAACATTGAGAGCTCTTCTCCCAAGTAGGAACATGATTCATCATCATTAACAGCCTTTAATAGTCCACTGCTGGACATAGGCCTCTCCTTAGAAAGGAGGTTTTGGCCTACTATAACACGCTGGCCAGACGGGTTGGTATAGGGTTTGTGTCAAGTTTTCCTTCTCTTTGCAGTGTTGTTGACCTGCGTGATTTACTCCCTTAGTCGGCTCTTACGACGCCCACGGGATGACTAGGGGTGATGACAATGCGTATTCTTAATCTATAATTATTTTTTTTTTAAAATAATAAATACCACTGTGTGTATAGATATCAAGAACACGCGCAATGCATTATACATAGTCTGATTCCGATCGTTACCGCTTCATATACACGCCTCATTGAGTACGGTGGACGTATTCCGTAAATACAGCGATGCAATTGTTGGACTGTCTGGCTCATGTTTTATTTTAATATTTTTATTAGCTTCACTTGTAACTAAAATATTAATGCACAATGATACAGTCATGGCGGAACATTGCTTGAAAAATGGTCACCTTTCAATCTGCAATTCGTCAAGCATCTTATGAATTCTCTCTTCTTCAATGAATGTGGACAACATTAGGAATATTGGAATACGGGACAATGGGACAAATGTCTCGAGTAACAGATTGTGTTGCTATTAATTTGTTTTATTTTTCTTTAAAAGAACTCCTGCAGTAGGAATATATCCTGTGTCGCGGGGGACTTTACAAACATACATGAAACAGACACAAAGAACATCCAGAGTCAGAACAACAATTTGTGGATCACACAAATTGTTGTCCCGCAAAACACTCCGCGCAGTATAAAGCGGCGATGTGACCGCTTAAGCCACTACGCCATCCGTGCAGTCGGTTCAACCAATTTGCCTCCTCCGTGGCTCAATCAGCAGTAAGCGCACATGCGTCCTGTGTGACGCGCTATATGCGGATACTGATAACTGGCAAATTGAAAATTACTGGAAATTACTCATCAAGTAAATTTATCTTATGTAGCAGTCTCGTTCACACCGCACACAAATAACCTGTGTGTGTCCGAACCTATACCACCTCCAAACCTTCAATAAAACAGCAATTCACCCCACTGTTGCTATTTATTTAAATTTCTTATTTTAACCATCCATTTAACTGACAATTATGTAATTATTATGTCATAAGGCCCAACCCCTTGGAAACGGGCGGTTGTAGATAGTCATAGGCATATTATACACTTGCGGGCAGGCGCTAGGAGGGGTCCGGTCTTAAAAACTGCAGTTCCCGGATCCCTCCTATTACAGGCGCACAGTGGCACACCGTGTGGTTTTAGTCGGGCCGATTCCGACACACACCGGGGTGGTTACCACACGTAAAAAAAAGGCATATCATAGATTTTGTATAAGTTTAATTTTTAATTAATTTATCTGCTTACTATTTGACAAAACAGAGATTGTTGCTATTGTGTGTGTTGATCTATGACTTTAGAGTGTACATAAAAGACGATTTCAAACCATTTTGTGAAATAAAGTTGAGTTTGAAATTGAATTATGGCTCTAATTTAAGATTCTCCAGTTGTGAAGTATTGTTTGTAATCCAAGTGAAGGATAAAACGATATCGTAGCGATATCGTTTCGTGGTAAAGAATAAGGACGTAAAATGTATAAAATACGCCAGTCTATCATGACACACTGACCGAACTATACTACATACTAGTGAAGTCACAATCCGAGTTTATTTTAATCTTATTTGTGTACAAGTGGTAGTGGTTTTTGTAATAAATCTAGTCGTAAGTTAATATATAGGTTGATAAAGTGTTAGTTTATTCAATAGGGTATAAAGTTTTCTATCACATCACACATCAAATCAAAAGCCTTTAACAGTCCACTGCTGGACATAGGCCTACACTACTACTACTTAGAAAGGAAGTTTTGGCCTACTATACCATGCTGGCAAGACGGGTTGGTAAAGACTTGGTGTCAAGTTTCCTTCTCTCTGCAGTGCTGTTGTACTGCGTATTTCGCTCCCTTAGTCTTTTCTTACGACACCCACGGGATGAATAGGGGTAGTGACACTGTGTATTCTTAATCCGTCACCACATGGCAGTTTTCTATACATGTTAAATATAAAAGTTTTGTATAAATATTCCCACCTAGGACAAATATTGTGTGATGAGTACGGTCATTTGTTCTGTGTCTGTGTGTAATTTATCTATAATATGTATGTATTTAGACATATATAAGTATGTTTATCAGCAGTCTGTTCACCATAGTACAGGCTCTGCCTAGTTTGGGACCAGACAGCCGTGTGTGAGATATGTAGTATATATAGTAATATATCCTAGAAAGGATATATAGTAATATATCCTTTACAAACATACGTGAAAGGGACACAAAGAACACCCAACCTTAAAATAACAATTTGCTAACTAAGAGAGCAAACTACAGACTACTGCAAACTACAGCAACAGGACAACAGCACTGCAAAAACTTGACAGAAACCCTATACCAACCCGTCTGGCCAGCGTGGTACATTATGCCAGAACCTCCTTTCTAGGGAGAGGCCTGTGTCCCGCAGGTGGACTATTAAAGGCTGTTAATGATGGTGATGACATTGCGCCAAAATCAAATTTATTTAAAGAGCCAGAAAATGTTGATGATGGCGTTCAATATTCTTAAGTATTGTAAGTATTTTTTTCTATTTGCAGGTGGCACAAAATGCTCTGGAGGTGCTGACGGCGGTTTCTGAACGCATGGGTAGTGAGTTCTCACACTTCGTGCCGACAGTACTACCGCATATAATAGACAGGTAAGAATTCCTCTTCTCTTTCTCAACACTATGTGGTGGTTTTTGTTCTCTTCTGCACCATGGCAATCTGACATAGAGCCAAAAGCCACTCAGTTAACCAATTTCTAGTCAGTTTGGTTTTTGATAATATGAAACAGTCACCGGCGATGTGGGTAACTCTCACCCCTCTATGAGAATCTGTCGCTGAAAAATGTCAAATCTCTTCAGGCTCGAGTGCTATTTTCCTCCTACTCTCTTCAGTGGTATGTAAGTTCATTTGTGTCGGAGGCCAGTGTCAGATGCCCCAACTCTTGTCCCAATCCAGGAGTTGCAGGTTACCATGAGCGAAGGTATTCATTTACCATCAAGGGACCGATTTGTCGTTTCTCCTCTTACGAGCATACCTTAAAAAAACTCTCCAATCACTTCCATAGAATAAGCAGTACCTATCTCTTTAACTTTTCTTATTGACTGCAGTTAAACATACTTATAATATACAAATCTTTACATGGTAAAAAATACCGTCGCTTTTTTGTTTCTTGTACGCTTAGATCTTTTAAAGTAAGCAACGGATTTAAATGCGGTTGTCACCAATAGAGAGAGTGATTCAAAAGGAAGGTTTATATGTATAATACATGCATACTATAATAGAAAAAGCAAAGCTTGGGGCAAAGCGGGCGTCGGCGCTTTGGGCCATACGTCCGTCGCGGTTTGCAGCGGCTGGCAGCGGCTGGCAGGATCACAGCGGGCCTATAAATATTGCATACAAAGATGTCCTGTAATATATATCCTATCATAATAATAGTGTAATTAATTACTCCACACTGACACCACATCAGTAGTATCTCCTTTGCACCCGTGCGAAGCCGAGCGGATCGCTAGTTATAGATAAATTACACTCAGACACACAACAAATGACCGTGCTCATCCTCCCACTGTTATTTATCCTGAGTGGGAATCGAACCCACGACCTCTGACTAGCAGTCAGCCTCACTAACTACTAAGCCAACAGGCCCTTTAAGAACAATAGGAGCAATTATTACTGTCCTTAAGTCGATATTTTATACTAGCCATTGTTAATGTTTGACAGATGTCACGCTTGAGAAGCTTATAATAGGTCATTGTGGCATTTCCTGTTTGTGTATGTCACAGGAGGCAGAGACGGGTGATCTCTAGTGGTGTAGTACGGTACGCAACTGCAGTCCATGAGGTTTCGATTCCCGGACCGGGTAAAATTTTATAGGGTTTTTCTGAAAGGAAAAATGGATTAAGTTACTCCTTATAGACAGTTACCTGGTAGTAAAATATTATCAAAATCGGTCCAGTCGTTTTGAAGATTTCCCGGACCAAACAGATAGACAAACATTTATAAAATATTTAAACTGGTATTTAGGAATAGGTATCGTGCAAATAACCGTGTGAGCTTGTAAAAAAATTCCATTATTTTGACATTACAAACAGACACTTCAATTTTATTTATTTGTATAGATTATATTCTTAAGGTGAACTTTTTGTGTTACTAGTATTCAATATAATTTTACGGGATAAAAATTTGCCTATGTAGTATTTAAAACTAAAATCCATATCTCTGTCAAATTTAATTCAGATACGTTCAGCGGTTCCTGAGTAACAAACAACCATCCAAAACTTTAGATTTTATAATAGCAGGAAAATATTATAGACTAACTGACCCTGCAAACGTTGTTTTGCTATTTATATTATTTAATTTTTTTGTTTTTCTTTAAATTTCTTATAATCTGTTCTTAGCTGACCTCTACTCGTTGAAAACAATATTCCTACCAAATTTCAAGTCTTTAGCTCTAATGGTTCCAGAGATATCGTGATGAGTGACTATATACGTGGAAATCTCTTATATATATATAGATATAGATAAGGGGTATAATACGGGATAAATTAGGTCATACGTTACACAGGGGGCCGATGAAGTGTGACATTGTATGTCAAGGGGTGATCTGGGTCCTAAGTTTAGTGACGTCACATTTGAAATCTCAATATCTAAGGATCGCTGCTAAACATACTTATATTTTTTCCAAATTACTTACATACATATTAATATATTTCCGGTATTTCCGGACCGATACGACCTTCAAACCTTCAAGAAAAGAGCGTAATCCTTCCTATAAGGCCGGCAACGCGTTTGTGACTCCTGAGTTGCAGACGTTCATGGGCGGCGATGGTCACTTTCCATCAGGCGCCTTCTAACATAAAACATATATACATACATATCATAAGTAGAACTAGCCTTTGCCCGCGGCTCTGCCCACGTGTATGTCGGCCATCGTGGTAAATAGTAGCCTATGTCCAAACTATCTTCATGCCAAATTTCATTTAAATCGGTTCTGTGATTATTGATTCCCCATAGAAACTTCCACTTCCTCTTTTCACCCCTTTAAAGGGTGATTTTTGGGATAGAAACTATCCTATGTCCTTTCAACCGGGACTAGGCAGCTAAGCTATCTCGTCATACGAGCACGGATGGCGTAGTGGTTTAAATGGTCGCCACGCCGCTTACTATTACGCTGAGTGTTGTGGGTCCGATCCCTACATGGGCTTTATGTGATCTAAAAATTGTTGTTCTGAGTCTGGGTGTTCTTTGTGTCCGTTTAATGTATGTTTGTAAAGTCCCCCGCGACACAGGATATACTTATTCCTAATGCGGGAGTTGTCTTTAAAAAAAAAGTTTATCTTAATCGCTTCAGCGGTTAAAGCGTGAAGAGGCAACAGACAGACACACTTTCGTATTTATTATATTTAGTATGAATTTACACACATATATAGAAAAAATGCTGTAGAACAATATTCCTAGCGCGGGAGTTCTTCTAAAAAAATATATCGTGTTTATCACAAGATTACTTGTCCTGAACGAGAATCGACTAAATTATTGCAGAATGTATAGTGATCTCTAATATGCTACTGTCTCCAGGTTGGCCGACACAAAAGAAGCGGTGAGGCACACGGCTCGCACATGCGTGGTGTCCCTCGCATCCAGTCGAGCGGTCGGCGCCCGGGCGCTGCTGGCGCGCCTCACGCCCGCACTCAACCACAAGGCGCCCCACGCCAGGGAGGAGACGCTGCGGTGTATACAAGCGCTGCTAGACAAGTGAGTACCAAATCCCCTCAAATACCCCTCATCAACAGCCTTTAAAAGTCCACTGCTGGACATAGGCCTCTCCTTAGAAAGGAGGTTTTGGCCTACTATACCATGCTGGCCAGACGGATTGGTATAGGGTTTGTGTCAAGTTTTCATTCTCTCTGCAGTGCTGGTGTTCTGCGTAGTTTTTTTCCCTTAGTCGGCTCTTACTACACCCACGGGATGAATAGGGGTGGTGACACATTGTATTCTTAATCCGTCACCACACGGATAACCTCAAATACCCCTCTCCGCACGGCAACCAGGTGTAACCTATCCGGGAATTCCTGGTGCACTCTCAAATCCCTTAAATGGTAATGGACACGTACATTATCGCTCACTGATATAGTTACACATACGCACACATTCAGGTTAACATAACGCTAGCTTAGCTTTGTCATATTGTGTCATAAATTAAAGAAAACAAATGTCTTGGTGTAGGTATGAAGCAATGACTGTAGAGAGACAGGCGGAGTACACACACTGTGACCATAGACATTGTAACCTCGTTATATCGGTAGGCAGTTTTACGCCGATACTAATATACAAGCAAGAACTGAGTACGTACTTTGTTATGTAATATATTTACGTGTACGCACGCACACGCACGCACTTACACATATAAACCCATATGTGACACGCACTTGTACGCATACTCAAACACACGCACTCGAACGCTTTTAATGTATTAGTGTGCGTGCGCGTATGTGTACGTGCACGCACCCTAATACATTAAAACTGTAATACTTCCACACTGAACTCCAACTGAACATGAACTAGCCACTTAATTGATTGTTGTTTCCAGCCACGGTGCGACGGAGCTGCAACTCAGAGCGGCGGTGCCCAACTTGGCGGCGCTGGTGGGAGACCCCAGCAGCGCGGTACGGGACGCGGCTATGCAACTGTTGGTCGACGTCTATAGACATGTTGGTCTGTATCTCTATCTCTTACTCTACCTTTTGTCCCCCCATCGTTTCCATCAATAGCACCGACTCAAGAAGTTAGGGGTCATCCTTTTCATAGTAGACTACTGCTTCTACATATCCTCTATTTCATATATTAAATAATGTAATATTCAGGCTTGGACTGCATGTATGGCGTAGTGGATTAAACGGTGACTTGCCGCATGCTACTGTGCTGAGTGTTGTGGGTTCGATCCCCACATAGTGCAACACTTTGTGAGATTCTCGTAGTATTGCTATGAGTCTAAGTGTTCTTTGTGTCTGTTTTTCATGTATGTTTGTAGTCCCCTGCGACACAGGATATATTCCTACTGCGGGATTTGTCCCTCATGAAAAGAAAGCTGGTACTTGCTATTAAAAACTGAAGCGGTTTATCTCCATTTGAGCCCAAAACTGGTCGTGAAATCTAAAGCAGATGCGAAAGCACAACCATCAATAGGTATAAACTAGCTGGTACCCGCGACTTCATTCGCTTGGAATTTAAAAAGTGTTGCCTTGGTACGCGACCAGTCCATGAGACCTCGAGTTCGATTCCCGGACCGGGCAAAATTTTATAAGGTTTTCCTGAGAGGAAAAATAGCCTTCGTTAATACTTATAATAGATAGCTACCTGGTAGAATATTATCAAAATTGGTGCAGTCGTGTTAAAGATTACCGAGAACAAACAGACAGGCATACAAAAACCATTTAAACTGGTTTTTAGGCATATCATCATCATCATCAACAGCCTTTAATAGTCCACTGCTGGACATAAGCCTCTCCTTAGAAAGGAGGTTTAGGCATAGGTATCGTGCAAATAACCGTGTGAGCATGAAAAAAACCTATTATTTTGACATCACAAACAGACACTTCAATTTTATTTATTTGTATAGATAACACCAACGAAAGTTATTATTCTAAAACAAAATTAAGATTGTCTATTGTTCTCAGGTGAAAGATTAAGGCAAGATTTAAAGAAGAAGGAACTGTTACCAGCACAGAAGTTCGCCTTGTTGGAGCAGAAGTTCGACGAGGCCCGAGATTCGGGATTATTGTTACCTACAGGTAATATCTTCTATGATACAATTTTAGCTTCTTCCAGCTGTTTTACACACGTTAAAATTGATTTTGGCAGTCATTAATACATGACGACAATCTCTTAAGGGCTAATTATTAACTTATTTATTTACTAGCTGACCCGGCAAATGTTGTATTGCAAAACAAAAAAAAAATTAGGGATGGGTCACCCTTACCATTTAGGGGTATGAAAAATAGATGTTGGCCGATTCTCAGACCTACCCGAAGTGCACACAAAATTTCATGAGAATCGGTCAAGCCGTTTCGGAGGAGTACGGGAACGAATATTGTGACACGAGAATTTTATATATAAGATTTATTTAGGACAACTTACAAAACATATACTAATACATAGTTTACAAATATGTGCTGAGTATTGTCTTACTTACAAGTTGCCACGGCATGGCAACTTATAAAATAATGCAAAAAAAATATGGTTATATAACCTGGCTTGGTGGTGCAATGGTAGTGTATCCGACTGCTGTGCTGTCTCGGGTTCGATTCCCGGGTCGGACCAAATGTTTGTGTGACTTGTTAAAAAAATATTATTATTATATCGCTCACTTCAGTGCGCCAACTTGATATATTGTATTCTTCTTTCCTTATAACACCCTTTAGGGGTAGAAGTTTCTCTTCAGATTTGAATGAGACCTAACGGGTAGTTAACCCAAAAAATATTTTTCAATTCGATTCATAAATCACGGCGGGTAGGTTACTGGAGGGTTGGACCTCTTCCTTTTTTTTTGAAGTCTGTTAAAAAAGAAACCAAAAGATTTTTTTGATTTGGCCCACGAGCTGGTAGACAAGTGGGACGTGGCTTCAGCAATAATTGTACTGATATTCAAAATAGCTGGATTAAGGGGCCTGATGCATAAGGTAGTCTGTAAAAATATTCAAAAATAAAAATACCTTTCTTCCAGACCCTATAAATACATGCATATGTAGTAAAACTACTTTGACTTCAAATTTGAACTAATGTTAGTACATAAACTTATTGTAAATTGATATAAAAATATAACCATTATGTTGCAGCGACACAACCAGTAGACGAACCAGACTTTGTATCCCGGACTATCAAGAGGACAATGACGATACCCACGTCAGCGCGGAGCAGAGATGGAGACAGCTCCGGAGCATCCACACCCGGTCAGTATTTGAAAAAATGCTAAACTATCATAAACACGTCCCCGTCATCTTCTTTTCTCTTCTCCCATAGTAGGGGCGGGAGGGGGTTGGGAACGAATGCTGGTATGTGAATGTTTGTAAGTGTGAGTTTTTTATATGATTAAAGAATAATAAGTTAAAACAACGTTTCAGTTTAATCATACAACACCTTCTGCCCCAGATTCTGTGGGGGAATCAATTAAAAAGTGTGGCCGTGAGTTGGTTTGCCCTTTCTTCTCACAAATCTCAACCCCTACGGACGGCTGTATATCTGCACAGGCATATGCTAGTGTGTGTGTTGATCTATGACTTTAGAGTCTACATAAAAAACGATTTCAATTCTTTTTTTTAATGATATTTTGTAAGTTTGGTAACGCACGTGTAACTCAGATTGTAACTGAGTTGCAGGTATCTTTGGGCGGCGTTAGTTACTCATGGTTACCATTGCTGGTTCTGTAGCAAGCGTGGCCGACTGTTTAGTTTTTTTTAAATTACAGGTTAAATGTTGCCATTACATATTAATGTTACCATGACTGGTTTGGTTAATCGTTTGCCAACTACACCGTAAAAAAATATTTTATAGATTATACTGATGTAACGTTAAATACAAGGAAACTGATTTGGTTGGCCGTCAGTACCGTATTTCTTACACAAGAATATTTTGCATTATTCACTCATACATTTGACATAGTTCTTCCAATTGTATTGTTAACCCATCCATTTGTTATGAAACTACTTTGAATCGAATATCAAAATAATAATAATACTAATATGAATCTTTCTCTACTTTCTCGGCCATCACCTCTAACTAAATCACCGACGGGACGACATTATCACCAAATAACCAAATCACCAATTTCTGTACATCATCATAACTTAATCGCTGGAATGACAATATGGCTTTGGATGGAAAATAATCTAATACTGGCTCAAATGTAACGAATGCTGGTCACAATTGGACGAATTTCGAATATTCATTATATATAGCATGTGATATGCCAAAGAGGACTGTAGCTGGATTATATAGTCTACCATCAGCTAGTCGGAAACCGCCACCACCAGTGAAACTTACAAGTGCTGCAAGCGGTAAGTTACTAATTTTTTTATTAATATTATCATTTTCACAGATTAATTTTTATCAAATGGTTCTTTGGGTATTATTAATTGGATTTAATAATTAATTAATCTTCCGTGTGGTGACGGATTAAGAACACAGAGTGTCAACACCCCTTTTCACCCCGTGGGTGTCGTAAGAGCCGACTAAGAGAGAAAACTACGCAGAAGAATAACAGCACTGCAGAGAGAAGGAAAACTTGACACAAACCCTATACCAACCCGTCTGGCCAGCGTGGTATAGTAGGCCAAAATGTTAGTATAAATGAAACTCGAAAGTTTGGAATATAAATTAGAATGGATTTAATGTTTGTCCCAATTTATGTGGTAATAGAAATCGTTAACAAGTACAGTAGGGTACGATTTTCAGTTCTATTTCAACTGCATAAGGTTTATATTTGATAATCATTTATAGTAGGCCAAAATGTCCTTTCTAAGAAGAGGCTTATGTCCAGCAGTGGACTATTAAAGGCTGTTGATGATGATGAATTAATTAATTATGAAATTAATTCTTTGTTAGGAGAAATAAGAGACTCAAGTGTCAGTAGCAGATATTCAATGATTAATTAAAGTGATACATACATTATCTGATTCAAATTCATTCTAATTGTAAAAAATAACAACTAGGTTTGCTTTTAGTAAAAGAGCGTTCAATTCGGACTTTAGTTGAGTTCAGTCTCAGATGTTTATATATTTAAATCAGTCACAGATAAGAACCTTGGGGCACTCCTGTTATAACTTAAACTAAGTAAGTTATGATCGTAGGTATTTATGTGAGTTTGTATCCTAAACACCGAATTAAATAAAAATTAACATTTTACGTTCCCGTATGTGACAATATCGAACAGTTCGGTAAGGAAATGACCATGATTGATGGTGTCGAAGGCTTATTCGATGGCACGTTGCAGTGTCGAGCGGCATCGCGCAGGCGTCGGGCGAGGCGGGCGCGGTGTCGTGCGAGGCGTTCGAGGCGGCCTTCGCCAGTTCAGCGCCGGCCGCCGTGTACGGCGCGCGCGGGCTCGACGACCTGTGCCGCCACGCCGCCGCGCTGCTCGGCGACCGCGCCGCCGACTGGGAGAAGCGCGTCGACGCCGTGAGTCTCTTGTACTATCGTCGTCAGGACTTCACATCATAAACTAGGCAGAATTTGTGCTATAGACTGCACGGATGGCGTAGTGGCTTAAGCGGTCGCCACGCCGCTTCCTACTACGCCGAGTGTTGTGGGTTCAATCCCCACATGGGACGACACTTTGTGTGATCCACAAATTGTTGTTTTTACTCCGTTTTATGTATGTTTGTAAAGTCTCCCGCGACACAGGAATATATATTCCTAATGCGGGCGTTGTCTTTATCAAAAGCAAGAACAAGAAAAACAAGTAACCAGACTGTTGATAAAAAACATACTTATGTTTCTAAATAATAATAATAACCTCACTCGGCTGTCTGATCCCAAACTAGGCAGAGCCTGTACTATGGTAACCAGACTGCTGATAAACATACTTATATATTTCTAAATACATACATTTTATAGATAAATTACACCCAGACACAGAAAAATTGATTGTACTCATCACTCAATTATTTGTCCTTGGTTTAAATCGAACCCACACCTCTAGCTCAACAGACAGGGTCACTAACCACTAGATAAACGGCCGTCAAATACATACATATTATAAATGCTGAACGACACATATTATGCTGTGCTGAGGTCTCAGGTTCTATTTCCGGTTTGGACCAAATATTTGTATGATCTGCCAATATTTGTTTCGGAATTTGGGTGTTTTCTATGTGTAATATGTATGTATTTACAAAAAAGTATAAAAGTATACTATTAGTCAATTTAGCTTTCATAGTACGAGGTCTGCTTAGTTTGAAATTAGATGGCGTTGTATCAGATGTCCGAAAATATTATTAAAAAAAAATACTCCCTGATATAGATCAATAATCATATTCGTCACACAATCTTTTGTCCTGAGGTGGGATCGAACCCACACCTCCGGCTTACCAGTTAGGACCACTAGACCCCTGTTGTCGTACGACAAATAATTGTTTAATGAGCACGATAATTTTTTTCTTTATCTGTTTTTAATTTATCTATAATATTTAGAAACCTAAGTATGTTTATTAGCAGTCTGATTACCATAGTACAAACTCTGCCTAATTTGAGATCAAAAGACCATGAATGTGTGAGATATACAAGATTATTATTATTACCTCGACTTCTGACCATAGATCTCAGAACAGAACAGCTATTAAAAAATAAAAATTATAAGCAAATTTTATCTTTTGCAGCTGAAAAAGATTCGCTCTCTACTGACGGCGAACGCCCACCAACATTACCCAACAGAGTTCTATGCTCATCTCAAGGATTTGTCCGTGCCTTTTCTGGTAGTCATTAAGGATCTGAGGAGTCAGGTATGTACCACGTTCGTAGCAGAAATAATACCTGATCATCTATCTTTTGATGATTTTCTTGATTCCTTATTACACTCATATAAACACCTTGCAAAACTAAAAATTTAAGTCAAGAGTCCTGAATTCTCTTTAGGAGATTATTATGCCATAGCATATCCGTGTGGTCACGGATTACAGAGTGTCACCACCCCTAAGGGAGTAAACTACTCAGGACAACAGCTCTGTAAAGAGAAGATAAACTTGACACTAACCCTATATGAACCCCACCTGGCTAGCGTGATATAGTAGGCCAAACCTCCTTTCTAAGGAGAGGCCTATGTCTAGCAGTGGACTATGAAATGCTGTTGATGTGAGTGTGGAATGCAATAATATACAATTTTACCATGGGAGGGCCACCCCAGGTGTCCATGTGCTAGGGTAGTCACTTACTATCAGGTGATCCGTATAATCCGAGGGGGGGGGGGGGAATAGCACTAGACAAATAAAAATAAACGTTTCTGTCCTCTCCTTCAGGGATATAGGCTTAATAGTATGTATGTCTATGTGTGTATTATTTTCAGGTGGTTCGAGAAGCCTGTATCACGATAGCTCACATGGCCAAGGTGCTCAAAAACAAATTGGACCAGTTCAGTCTGTATATTCTACAAGAACTCATCAATCTCATACAAAACGCAGCCAAGGTAACTATACCCACTAGTCTCTGCCTGCGGATTCGCCCGCGTTTATGTATAATGTGGATTTTTCAATCAATCTTACGGCAAAAGCATTTTATATTTTACAAGCAAAGTAACTACCTGGTCAGTTGTAAGAAGTACCTGTGAATTACTCATGTAAATCACAGGTACTTCACTCACTTGACTGCACGGATGGCGTAGTGGTTTAAGCGGTCGCCACGCCGCTTCCTACTACGCCGAGTGTTGTGGGTTCAAACCCCACATGGGACGACACTTTGCGTGATCCACAAATTGTTGTTCTGAGTCTGGGTGTTCTTTGTGTCCGTTTCATGTATGTTTGTAAAGGATTTATTCCTAATGCGGGAGTTGTCTTTTTTAAATAACACATTTGCCTTATTTATTCATTGAATAAAATTGCCTTATTAATTAATTTGTGTAGTAATAGTTCATACTATTACTAAACAAATTAATAAATAAGGCATTATTTTTAACTATATTAATTTGCAAATGTGTGAGTGAAAAACTGAGTTACTTACAATTCACACAAAAGTGTAATAATAATAAAAAAATAACTGGAAACACCTAACCCGGACCAAAATTTCGTTCGCCATGTGAACCCATAGGTATTTTACCCTGACAACTTGTATTGAGAATTTCAAGGTAACAGGCCTAGTTAGTATAGTAGATAAGTCTTGATAGCCAAAACCTCCCTTCATCCTGATTCTGGAGCTGGAGGAGTGGGGGTTACAATCAGGTGATGATGTGCTCATTTGTCTTTATGCCAAAAAAAAAGTATACATTTATCGACAGTAGAGTAAACTCGTCAGGTATGTTATGATGGAAGCAAGTGGCAGACCGATGTCGCTTAGACTGATAGGTAGGGGGCAGCCACTGGGTTCCTCCTAGGACAGGGCTTAGTTAGGTACGGCGCCTATCCTGGTGGACCTGAAATCACATAGACTTGGTCCTTCCCAGAGCCTAAGGCTGGCGTCGGAGTGATTTTTAGTGGAAACACCACATACTCCTGGCTCTTGTATAAGGAGGGAAGTGGATTTACTGTATTTCCAACTCCTCCAATTTTCTTCTGATTAATTTCGTTGCGGGTTCCAAGACAGTTTAATTTCTTCCTGGGACTTCCCGAGTGTCATAACTCGGTGTGTTCGTGGGTCACTGCTGTGGATCCTGGTGTACAGGAGTTACAGTGGTGGGCGTGTGGGTGGGATTAGTCCCTATGGCTCTTGTATCCCAAGGAGCCGGGATCTGAAGGAATTTTCCACAATGTCACCAAAACTCACGAAAGGCGTGAATTTGTGTAATTATGTGTAAATATGCCATGTCTTATTGTTATATAATTTACCAGGTGGTGTCGTCAGCAGGCACAGTATGTGTTCGCTACATAGTTGGCTATGTTCACTCTCCAAGATTAATACCAGTGATAGTCACCAACATGACCAGCCACAAGTCCAAAGAGATACGCTCCACGCTCAGGTTAGTATACCACTACTGAAGATAAACTAGCTCAGATAGATAGATAACTTTTTATTTGCACACATTTTACAGGTATTATGGTACATAAAATTTCAGACATGTAATGTACAAAGGGCGGCCTTATTGCTAAAAGCAATCTCTTCCAGGCAACCTTAGGATGGATTAAAATGTTTTGGAGAGACAGTAGTAGTTGAAGGTGCAATGGTAAAATTAAATAAATATTTACACATAAACACATATACAATATACATACATATACCTATATATATACATATATATAGCTAGTTAAGTATATCACATAAAAGATACGAAACAAAGAAAAGGAACATTCTTATCATGCCTTGATGCGTAATTGACTTAATCAAAGTTTATAAAATTCCTGAACCATTCTCTTAAAGCTGTTTATCGTTTGCGCTCCCCTGATGTTTATCGGCAATGAATTCCACAAACGTGCAGCTTCAACAGTAAAAGTTTGGTCGTAGAATTTTGTGGACCAATCTTTTACTGTTGAAGCTGCACGTACTGCTGCTAGCTTAATTGGGTTAAGTAATAGAAACGACCTTCAGAGGTTCGGTCGGCAGGCTCATTTGAACTGCACGAGTGGCGTAGTAGTTCAAGCGGTGACCTCGCCGCTTCCTACTGTTCTAAGTGTTGTGGATTCGATCCCCACATGGGAAAACAGGGTGTGATCCACAAATTGTTGTTCCGAGTCTGGGTGTTCTTTGTGATATATTCCTAGAACGGCAGTTGTCTATTAAAAAAAACTTCACATATTACACTCTGACCCCAAACCAGCGGACTAGTGCTATGGTAACCAGACCGCTGCTAAATAAATATATTTATTTTATTTACAACTTAATGCACTTTTGTCCATCGAGGGACTTAATGCCAAACTTTGGGTGGTGTAGCAATCTGGTGAATCCATATTATATATTTCTAAACAAACGACCATGCTCATTACACAGTTATTCGGTCTGGGTGGGAATTGAACCCACGAACTCTGGCTCAGCAGTCAGGGCTACTAACCTCTATAGCAACAGGCCAGTCAAATGATGGATGGCGGTAGAAACTTCCTATATCTTGACCCGTCGGCTCCCTTAGTCCCTATACAAAAAATATATTATTATAAAAATCATTATTATCAACAGTCTTTAGTAGACTACTGCTGGACATAGGCCTCTTCTTAGAAATTATATTTTGGCCTACTACACCACGCCGGCCAGACGGGTTGGCTAAGGATTTGTGTCATGTTTTTATTCGTGTTGTAGTGCTGTTGTCTTGCGTGCTTTGCTCTCTTAGTCGCCTCTTACGACACCCACCGAATGAATAGGAGTGGGGATCTCTATATTGTTAACCCATCACCAGACGGGCAATTTTAATACCATTTAATAAACATATCCATAATTGTTTTCAGTGAGGTCCTAGTCCTCCTAATAGAGAAGTGGGCGGCGCAAACTATTGAGAAACAGCAGCAGTCCATCAGAGACGCCATCAGAAGAGCCTGCATGGACGCTGACAGCACCGCCAGAAATTATGGAAGAAGGTATATATATATTTAAAATATAATATGCTTTATTGTAAACCGATTACATTAAGTTGGTTAAAAATTACAGATATGTATATTGGGCGGCCTTACTGCCGAATAGCTAACTCTTACAGGCAATTTTTGGTTGGCATAATCGACAGTAGATGAGAAGAAACAGTGGGTAGTCTAGGTGTATTGAAACGAAAGTAGTGTAAAAATAAATATAAATAATGTATATATGTGTGTATATATAATCCACACACAAACATACAAATACACATATATATATATATATATATATATATATATATATATATTAGTCATGTACAGTTATTGAGGCAAGGAGTACTATGAACCCAGGTAGTGATCTTTGACCATATTTTTAAATGCTATCAGTGTTTGGGCACGTCTTATAGATATCGGCAAGGCGTTCCATAATCTGACAGCGTGCACCTTGGAGGTTAGAGAGAAGGAGAACGATCGCTGTAGAAAATAGTGTCCCAGAAATATGGACAAAATAAGTGAGGCGCTGCGATCGCTAAGTTGTCTCAATAAAAGCGGGCTGTTGTGCGCTGATTTGAAATGATGTATCAATGTTTAATATACGTGTGTATAATATCATTCAAAGAAAAAAAAATAACGAAAAAAATGTTAATTATTATTATTTATTAGTAAATAAATTATAAATTGTGTCTTTATAATTTTAATTATTATAACTACTATAATTATTATAAATATAAATTGTTAATTATTATTGATTTAATGTATGTAATTATTTTTTTAATGTTTCTTTTTGTCAAAAATTCAAAAAAATACGGAGCACGATTATTTTCTCACCAATGCCGCGAAGAAAATTTGTACATTATTCAACTAACTTCATCTATTTGTACTCATAAACAGCTAACTTCACAGATACTACTTACCGACGGCAACTCGGCTGGTGGCTGAAAAATTAACTATAAATTCTACAATGCTTTAGCACGTAGCGATCGTTCTCCTTCTCTCTAACCTCCATGGCCTGCACCTTGAAAGATTTAAGTACCATTAGCTCCAAAGAATCCGACGACCTTAAAGATCTCAGATGTGTGTCACTGAGGAACACAAAACGTTCCTTTAAGTTACGAGGGGTTAATGGATTGTATATAGAGGATTCGAACCCGGCCGATTTTTAAAATCCCGGGATTTCGGGATTATCTACAGTTAATCTCGAGATTCCGGGATAATCCCGGGATTGTTTTGGCAATGGAAAGTGGTAACAAAAAGAAAGTTTTGTGAGGACATAGAATATTTAAGTTTTTAATCGATCTAAGTGGCGTGCAATGGGAGAGGTCTATGTCCAGCAGTGGACTGCGATAGGCTGATGATGATGATGAAATCTCCAAAAAGGCGGTTAAACAAAATTATACTTTCTTCTTATAAAATAAACAAACTAGTGCCTAGTTTGTTTTGTGTTTCGGTAAATAATTTATGAAACTAACAATAAACTTCAAAAAATCAACCAACAAAATCAAGATAAACTATAAAAAAAAAAACTATATGCTTAAGAGACCAATGTTTATAGATACCTACTCATATTTTTTAATTAAATTGCCCAGAACCTTTATAATTTACACACTTTTACGCATAATCCAGAACCGGTCATTAGCAAAAACAAATGAAATCAGCTGTTTAGACAAGATGGCTGTCAAAACATCAAATCAAGGCAAGGGCGTTTCTTTTTACGCACATTTTTATTGACTTATGTAAAAAATGTATGATCCCGAAAATCCCGGGATTCATTATATTTGATCCTGAAAATTTCGGGACTAAAATATGAGCTGGATCCCGGGATCGAATCCTCTAATTGTATAAGATACTATAAAGTATAGAAAAAATATGTGTATTCGAAGTCGAATTGGGATCCACTTGAGTAATTTACGAAATGGAATCAGATGGTCATATATATCTTTCTATCTTATTAAATATATATCTTAAGTATTAAACCAGTTTAGTATTTCAACCATGCCATTAAGGTCCATCCGTTACGATCTCCCATAATCTTCAAAAATAGATTGTACACCCAGGAATGGGCCGGCTCGACCGGAGTGATACCACGGCCTCAGAAAACCGGTGTTAAGCAATTCTTTCGTTGCCTTTCACTGAGTGAGTGAGGTTACCGGAGCCCAAATCCTCCTGCTGACTCGAGCGAGAGGGACTCCAAGGGCAGCAACGCACTTGTGACTTTTGAGTTGCAGGTGTCCATGGGCGGCGGTAGTTGCTTACCATCAGGTGACCCGTCTACTCGTTTGTCTCCTTATACCATAAAAAAGCAGCAGAAAGTCTTCTAGTTCCGGGGCATCAACGTCCTGTTGCGCGATAGTCCGCAAACTTAATTTCTTAACAATTATTTTTTGTTTTGTGTCCACAGAGCTTACTGTGCATATACACGCCAATTCCCAGAAGACGCAGAGCAGTTATTCGCCCGCCTCGACATTGCCGCGCAGAAGCAGATAGAAAGAGAGAAGAATATCGGCTCCGTAGACAGTTTACATCATATTGGAACAGGTACTGAATTAATATTCCATCCGCCATCACCATTTTCCTGATATCTTTACTTATATTTTGGGGTTGACGCTTTTATGGCCGGCCGCCTGCCTGACGTCTACTAACTGAAGTGGTATATTCCAAGATCATACCACGAAATGGACTGCACGGATGGCGTAGCAGTTTAAGCGGTCGCCACGCCGCTCACTACTACGCTGAGTGCTGTGGGTCCGATCCCCACATGGGACGACACTTTGTGTGATTCACAAATTGTTGTTCTGAGTCTGGGTGTTCTTTGACCGTTTCATGTATGTTTGTTAAGTCCCCCGAGACACAGGATTAGTGCGGGAGTTATCTTTAAAAAAATATATATTTATATGTATATAGATGACCACTGATTCTCAGAAAACAGGAAATCCTAGTGTGAGGATCAGGGGGCTCATATAATTGAATGCCATACTACTCATGGCAACTTATGCATATAGGGCTCACACCTACCACGTAACATTTATTATAGACACACAAAACAACATAAGCATAAACGCAGTCTGAGTGTGAGCCCTACATAGTCATTGTGTAATTTTCTACTTATTGTATGGTTAACTTTATGCAATAAAAATTATTATCATCATTAAAGATTTTAGTGACCGCCTAGAATTTAAGAACATCACAGATTTTGAGTTGTCATTTTTAGATCCTTAAATGTGTCGTTTAAACTATCTGGTAGACTGAAGACAGAGTGAGAAGGAGGAAACTAATAGAAACATTTAAACACAATAAAAGAGTATCAAATCTCATCCTGGGAGAGCCACGTTTCTGCCCATATGAGCCAGTTCACCGGCCTCACAAAAAACCGGTGTTTATGTATCTCTTTCTTTGCGTTTCGTTCAACGAGATAGCGAGCGTTTGTTGTGTCTGAGTTATTTATCCATAATATGTGCTAATTAAGAAATATCTAAGTATGTTTATCAGCAGTATGGTTACCATATTACAGGCAATTTTTTAAAAGTGAAAACTTCTTTAGGCGCGTTGGCCATTTTTGAACAACAAACAAAAGAATGGATTATTTGAGACGGAAAAACAATTGAACTCGCGTCACTGTTACCGTTACCGACACCTCTGTTGAAGTGAAAACTTTAGGCGCGTATGGTAATTTTTTGAAATGGGTGAAAACAATTGAACTAGCGACACTGTTACCGTTATCGACACCTCTGTATATTAGTTAGTATAGTTTTCACTTCTGTCGGCACTTCCGGAGTGGTACTGCTTTTCTTTTTAAATTCAAATTGAGTATTTAATTTCTTGTTACAGAAAGAAGAGCCATCACAAGCCCTAGAAGTCCATCGGCCAGCGTTTCAGGTAATCATTAATCATATACGTCAAAATTATCACAGTGACGGATTAAGAATACGGAATGTCACCACCCCTATTCATCCCGTGGGTGTCGTAAGAGCCGACTAAGGGAGCAAACTACGCAGGACAACAGAACTGCAAAGAGAAGGAAAACTTGACACAAACCCTATACCAACCCGTCTGGCCAGCGTGGTATAGTAGGCTAAAACCTCCTTTCTAAGGAGAGGCCTATGTCTAACAGTGGACTATTATAGGCTGTTGATGATGACAGCCCTATCATTAATAAATAAAAGCAACCCTAACGAGACCCGATATAATAACAAGAATAAATACCCATAGTTACCTATATGTGAACAAGGAAGCCTCCTAACACAGGCAAAACTATGTCTAAAAGGAACCAACAATTTTTGTAATTAAATTACGTTGAGTCAATAGACTTAAATCCTTTTTTTTTTAAATGGCAATTAACGAAATAACGTAACAGATGTTACATGCTTTTAAATTGTCTCACGTTTCGAACGTATTGCACTGGCCGTGGTCACATTAGACAGCTATGGAAATCTAACGTAATAATAAAACATCTGTTACGTGGTCGCGTTAATTCGCTAATATGGACTAGTTGACCGGCGCAGTTTCGTCTGGGTCTCTCTAAAGGATTAAATTTGCACCGTTTTTGAAACATTTTTCGTTGATGCTCTCCTCATATAGGTTTTACCGTGATGTTATATAGCCTATAGCATTCCTCGATTAATGGGCTATCGACTAAAAGAATTTTTCAATTTGAACTAGTAGTTCTTGAGATTAGTGTGGCGCACGGATGGTGATTTAAGCGGTCGCCACGCCGCTTTACGACGAGTGTTGTGGGTTCAAACCCCACATGGGAGGACACCTTGTGTGATCCACAAATTGTTATTCTGAGTCTGGGTGTTCTTTGTGTCCCCCGCGACACAGGATATATTCCTAATGCGGGCGTTGTCTTTTTAAAAAACAAAACGAAAAAAAGTGTGTTAAACCAGACAAACTTCAGATTTAAAATATTAGTATAAATGAAACTCGAAAGTTTGGAATATAAATTAGAATGGATTTAATGTTTGTACCAATTTATGTGATGTTAGAAATCTTTAACAAGTACAGCAGAGTACGATTTTCAGTTCTATTTAAACTAAATAAGGTTTATATTTGATAATCATTTATAGTAGGCCAAAATCTCCTTTCTAAGGAGAGGCCTATGTCCAGCAGTGGACTAGTAAAGGCTGTTGATGTGATGTGGTGTGAATCATTTTATATCTCGCTCAATTGCTAGTCGCCCAGTAGGCCCAGTCATCGCCGCAACAGTCGTGTCACCTCTGACGAGGGGTCCCTGTTAGGTAGACAAATCAGATTTAAAAAAAAATCATGATTATAATTTCGAGTACATTCTTAGGTTTCCACCGAAGCTGACATGATAGTCGCGGAGTTTTTTCAACCAATTGGACGATAGAACAGAATCCCTTGCAGTGGCGACCGACCCGGAGCCATGACGACATTCGTTCGGTTGAAAAAACTCCGCCCCCATCACCGCGGTGCGAATACTTGAAGCTAGGAGTTCGCGCAGCTCACAGCATCGGTATATATACATATGTGTATCTCATTTTCGATCATATCATCCTCGATCATCATCATCAATAATAGGTGTAGTGTAAGAGGATCATCTTTGGTGTTTCCATGGTTAACTTTCGTGGGAAACGTCGGGAGCTATCGTTACTTCACTCGTGTTGATGTATATTTTATCGGGAATAAAGCTTTAGAGACCCGGGTACACAAATGCCTCGGGTTCGACTGGAGTGTGACACAACCGTCTCACATAAAACCGGTGTTAAACTATTCTTCTCCATCTCAAATCCTCCCTTCCCTGAAGAGGGAGGGTGACACGGTCTTTGATAATAAGAATTTTGATGGTATTTATCTTTTGATCAATCACCAATCATTTCATCATATGATTTAATTTTCTGTAACGAGATGTCATCACCTTAGTAGCTGTATATTACGTAGTTTACTAGTACAACATTATTTTTATTTTGTTATTGTAAATTAATATTTTTTTAATCATTACAACATAAAACCGTAATTTTTGTTACGCTATCGCTCATCTGTATAATACAAAACATGGGGTGACACTGTAAATCTTATAGTTATATATACAACAGTGAGTTGGTTTGTTTTTTACGCTTTAACGCCTAAACCACTGAACTGATATTCATTCAATTTTACATATACGTTATTAGGCATACATAAAAGGTTATAGAGTACCATTTACCCTTCTTTTTTTTCCGTGCGGCAATCCCCTCGGATACCACCTACCGGTGGTATGTCGGACTCGAACCGACTAAAACCGCACGCCGTCTCGGGTACTAATAGCCGGGGAACCAGGTATACCCTAGAAAGGAAGTCCCTGGTGCCCTGACATACCTCGGGCCATCTACAACAAGTAGACGACCCCCCCCCGTGTGGGAACCCCATGTTCCCTCTGCTCCCTGGCCACCGGCCCCGGCCTGCTTCTGCTAGGGTGACAGAAAAGTACCATTTACCCTAAAAAAAATCACCGTTTCCAAAGCATAGCGAATTTTTTGACAAAATTTATTCGAATACAAGCGATGTCACGGACAAAAACTAGTCCTTAATAACTTATAATAATAATCAGGGTAATCTATATTTATATATATAAGAGATTTCCACGTATATAGTCACTCATCACGATATCTCTGGAACCATTAGAGTTAAAGACTTGAAATTTGGTAGGAATATTCTTTTCACCGAGTAGAGGTCAGCTAAGAACGGATTTTACGAAATTCCACCCCAAGAGAGCTGTGCGGGGGCGTTGAAAATTTTTTTTTTTTTTTTGGCAAAACAACGTTTGCAGGGTCAGCTAGTTATTAATATAAGTAGGTATTTGATGCGAAAATGAGATACCTAGACATACCGATGTATCAGATGTAGATCACAGAAGCCGACATATTCTGGGATGAAAAAGATTTATCTTTCACTAGCTGAGACCCGCGGTGTTACCCGCGTTTGTTGTTATAACCGCGGGCAACGCCGCGGGGCGAAGCTTGTCTAAAAAAGTAGCCTAAGTTACTTCTTATGTCATGAGCTATCTGCCAGTGAAAGTCCCGTCGAAATCGGTCCAGCCGTTCCAGAGATTACCCGGAACAAACAGACAGACAGACAGACAAATATTGAAGAAAATGTTATTTTATTTATGCATTTAGTAAAAAGCGGTTATTTTAATATTACAAACAGACACTCCAATTTTATTTATTTGTATAGATAAAATTACTCAAAATAAAGGACACATATTACTAATATTAGTACGTATTGAGAGGTGTAGTGGATCCTGACTGCTGACCTAGAGGACGTGGGTTCGATTCTCACCCAGGACAAATAGTTCTGTGATAAGCACTGTCATTTGTTCTGTGTCTGTGTGTAATTCATCTATATTACATAAATATGAGTGTGTTTATCAGAAGTTTAGTTATCATAGTACATTCTCTGTTTATTTTGGGATAAGAAGGAAAGAATAATAATAATTATAAGTCAATTATTTTTGGGATAGGTTTCCGTTGGGGTGGGATTCAAACCCCACTCCTTTCTTCTACTGTATTCTTTCTCATAAGCCTTCCTAATATCTTACATCAAAAGCATCATCTAATTTGTATCATATTCTCTCATGCTGCTATCGGATGCTGGTAACTATGGACCTCGATCATTTAGCTTCCACCGAAAACTTAATATCAGGAGTCTCACGGACCAACTCTTTGAGGAGACGTCGAGCCTCTCAGGAGAGACCTCCTGTTTCTCAAATACCCGTTGCGATGAGAGCTGAAGAACATAGAAATGGTATATTCGACTCATATTGTTATGTTTCGCTTAACGGGCGTGTTGGTCTAGTGGTTAGTGAGCTAGCTAAGCCAAAGGTCGTGGGTTCGATTCCCATCCAGGACACATAATCCGGGTGTTGATAACTATTCAAAAATAGTTTTAAAAACTTCAAGTGTTTTCAAAGTGTATATTTTTTAATATAATTAAAAAAAATATGTCACGTGACTGCGTATGACGTCATCATTCGATAGATTACTTAATTTGTATGAAAAATACTCTAAGTGTAAAATTCACACTGTATTCATATAGAAATTTTAATATTTCTGTATTCAGAATAACATTATGCAGAAAGAATAGATGTCACAAATAAAAAAGGTAAGGGGGGGGGGGGCTTTGTTTATTTCTCTTTTGGGTGTGAAACTCCTGACAATTCCGTCATCCCATCTCTAAGGGGATTTCGGAATCGGTTTTTTAAATGTAAATTTAGTATAGTGATGTGTGTGTTCCGTTGCAGACCGTACACCGTCGAGCGTGACGGCGCGTTCCGTGTCCGCGCTCGACGCCAACGCGGCGCAGCGGGCGCGTGCGCGGGCGCTCTACTCGCAGATGAACCGCGCCAAGATACCGCCCACCGCCAGCCTACGTGAGTACACATCTGTCTGCATATCTATACACCTGTAGCTTTGTTATGCCGACAGTACACACCATAGACAACGAAATACAGTAACACATCTTCGTATATAAAATACTCGAATAATCATTCCACAATTTCTTTATTAAACTCGAGGTGCTTATTGGTTGGGACTAATCCCACCCACACGCCCACCACTGTAACTCCTGTACACCAGGATCCACAGCAGTGACCCACGAACACACCGAGTTATGACACTCGGGAAGTCCCAGGAAGAAATTAAACTGTCTTGGTACCCGCAACGAAATTAATCAGAAGAAAATTGGAGGAGTTGGAAATACAGTAAATCCACTTCCCTCCTTAGCAAAGCGGGAGACAAAATGAAGTAAAAAGGGCACACACCCTTTTAAACAGGGAAGCACCACGGCCACAAATATTACGGGTCCTACATGAGCTATATTTGACTTCTATAATATGTATGGCAGAATCGCCTAAACGCACGGAAATTCACCCTACTTGACACAAGATCCCCATAGTATACCGCCCCAGATGTCACCTGCAAGCTATTCAACATTATATTACGTTCATTATACCAAAGACTACATTCCCAGAGGATATGATGAGCAGACTGTTCATAATGAGAGTTAGGTGTTGAGCATTGACACAATGGTGACTCGACTAATTTAAATGAATACAACTTGCTCTTAAAGTTACCATGACCCGTAAGAAATTGAGCGACACAGTGATCCACCTCGAGCCATATCCTCGACAACCGTTCGCGAACAGATGGAAAGAATTGGTAAAGATGGCGCCCCTTGGATGATTCATCCCAGCGTTGTTGCCATTCGTCTATGAGGTCGTTATAGACATCGGGCTGCTGTTGAAGCAATCTTGTAATTTTACCGCGCGCCCAAAAAATCGCATTCCATGTTTTGTTGTCTTGAATAATACATGGCTGCACGTCTCTGCACCTCGAGATCGACCGGAAGCACACCCGCCAACACCGGCAAAGCCTCAGTGCTAACCGTCCTATATGCCTTACACAAGAATATCAGTGCAAGTCGTTGGCCTTGTAACAGTTTGCGACGGACAGCGCCTACGGTCGCCCTATCGGCCCATACAGGTGCACCATAGCACATAGAACCTAAATAAGTAGCTCCGTATATGATCTTTAATGTATTAAATGATAGACCCCATGTCGCAGTTGATATCCTTGTCAATGCACAGAAACTCTTTTTAGACTTTTCATTAACTATTTTAATATGTTCGATAAATGAAAAGTCGAGGTGCTTGTGGAATGCTATGGATGGATCATCAATCTTAATACATTAAAATCCGTGCCTCGGAGACCACGTTAAGCCGTCGGTCCCGAACAGCCCCGGTTGTCATGTGTGGCAATGTTGGAGTTGGAAGCCTAAAAAGCAGTTGATCCTCGTAAAAAATCAAAGTTCAGCCGTATCATAATAGATTAAAAGAAGACCCCAAACTAATCAGGGAAAAAAAAACTTGTAACATCAAGCGACTCCGACGATCCGAGCTAGAATACCACCGCTGTGATGACGGTTGATAATCCTATTGATATCCTTAATTATTTTTCAAGGTAAATTGTCGATAATTCGGCATCACCAGCCATTGTACCAGATTCTACAATATACGGGCATGTTGGTCTAGTGGTTAGTGACTCTGACTGCTATATCGGAGATCGTGGGTTCGATTCCCACCCAGGACAAATATTTTTTCAATGAGCACAGTCATTTGTTCTGTGTCTGGGTGTTATTTATCTATAATATATATGTATTTAAGAATATAGGTATGTTTATCAGCAGTCTGGTTCCCATAGCACAGGCTCTGCCTAGTTTGGGATCAGACAGCCTTGTGTGAGCTATATATGTATATATATACATTATAGTAATATTATATATAATTTGAACTAACATATTTTACAATATAATCTACTATCTACTAATATACAATATATATTATGTAAATAAATAATAATATATTTTATTTTGCCATGCGGAAGGAGATGTATCTCAAGCAGGTAATCATAATTATTATTTATATTGAAAACTAAATTATCTATACATCTATACAAATAAATAAAATTGAAGTGTATGTTTGTAATGTCAAAATAATAGGTTTTTGTTATGCCTACACGGTTATTTGCATGATACATATGCCTAAAAACTAGTTTAAATATTTTGTCTGTCTGTCTTCAAAATGGCTGGACCGATTTTCATAATATTTTACTACTAAGTAGCTGTCTATATAAGGAGTAACTTAGGCTATTTTTCTCTCATAAAAACCCTTTAAAATTTTGCCTGGTCCGGGAATCGAACTCACTAAGGCAGCGCTTTTCAAATTCCACGCGAACAAAGTCGCGGGCACCAGCTAGTAAACATATATATATTTAATATCAATTTGCCGATTAATAAACAAAAATGTGGGGATGTTTGCTTTTGAATATAACTCGTGCTTGCTATGTTATTGTTAGGTGTAATAATGTCTGTACGTGTGGTGACGAATTAAGAATACAGAGTGTCACCACCCCTATTCATCCCTTGGGTGTCGTAAGAGCCGACTAAGGGAGCAAACTACGCAGGACAACAACACTGCAAAGAGAAGGAAAACTTGATACAAACGTTATACAAACCCTGACGTGGTATAGTAGGCCGAAAACCAACTTTCTAAGGAGAGGCCTGGGTCCAGCAGTTGACTATTAAATGTTAACGATGAATAATAAACTACACGAAACAGTAAAAACACTATTTCCTGGTGTACTAACTTTATACTGTCGCGTTTCACATAATTGTTTTGATTTTCATTATTTCGGACATACTTTACGTAGTTTTTTCCCTTAGTCGGCTCTTACGACCCCCACGGGATGAATAGGGGTGATGACACTCTGTATTCTTAATCCGTCACCGGACAGACATTATTACACCTTATAATAACTTAGCCTTAACCTAGTTACATTCAAAAGCAAACACCCACATATTGTTGCTATAATAAATTGATATAAAATATATATGCAAACCAGCTGGTGCCCGCAATTTAGTTCGCGTGGAATTTGAACAGACGGGTCGGTATAGGGTCTGTGTCAAGTTTTCCTTTGTGTGTCAAATTGCTTTTATTAATAATTTTTTTAATTCTTTTGCACAAGTTTGAGTTATACAATGGCGGACTTAATACCACAGGCATTTTCTCACAGTCTACCTTAGGGTGGTGCTGAAATGTGTGACTAGGTGCACTAGACATTGATATGTAAAGTAAAACAAAATTATTGATAAGTTAGACAGAAACAATCAGATAAATATACATACATACATACGTACCAAATACACATACATCAATACTTACCTAGTTACAAACATACATTATTATTACATTATATTTTAAATATCCTGTGTTTTGACGACCGAATGGCGTAGTGGTTTGTGGAACGCACTGCTATTCCAAAGGTCGCGGGTTAGATTCCCGCTCAAGTCACACATTTGTGTGCATGAACATTTAATGTTTGATTTGGATTAGGTGTTTCTATGTATAATAAGTATGTATTTACAAAAAAAAAGTAAATATGTATTTATATCAGTTGTCTAGTACCTATAGTACAAGCTCAGCTTAGTTTAGGACCATCTAGTCCTTGTCCGTTGTGTGAATGTGGTACAATATTATTTGTTTTTTTTTATAGCTCGGGCGAAACGATCGCCTTCAAACGCAGGGAGCGGTGTACCGCCCAGTCCTGAACGTGTTGTGGGACGCTCCCGAACTAGTAGGCCTGGCGTTTCACAGTCACAACGTAAGTTATATTTAAAACATAAATTTAGTAACATATCTTAATGACAAATTGATTTAAGAAGAGTTTACTGTCCCACCTTCTGGTTTCATTATCGTTACCCAGTTCGACTGTTGTCCATGTAGTGACGGATTAAGAATACGGAATGTCACTACCCCAATTCATCCCGTGGGTATCGTAAGAGGCGACTAAGGTCACATAACAACGCAGGACACCAGCACTGCAAAAAGAAGAAAAACTTGATACAAACCCTATACCAACCCGTCTGGCCAGCGTGGTATAGTAGGCGAAAACCTCTTTTCTAAGGAGAGGCCTATGTCCAACAGTGGACCATTAAAGGCTGTTGATGATGATATACTTACTAGCTGAGACTCGCTGTTGATGTGTGATGGATGATGTTTTACTGGGCTACTGGTCCAGTGATAAGTGACCCTGAATGCTAAGCCAGAGGGTTCGATTCCCAACATAGGACAAATAATTCTGTGATAAGTATGATCATTTGTTTAGTGTCTGGGTGTAAAAAAGTCTAAAATATGTCTTTAAGGATCTTTTCAATGTTTATTATTCTAAATTTGTGGAGTCAGACCGGCTGTTGCTGTGGCGACGTGTCTCCACAGCTTGCGTCGCCACGCTATGCAATAAATCTATTAGAGAAGTCACTAATGAAGAGAATGATGTTGGCTCCACTTAATTTTAAGTTTAAAATTAATATAAATTTAAATTAAATAAACAATCACCTTTTTCTTTCAAAAAGTCTTTATGTAACAAATTTAATTGTGCTATTTTTATTATTTTTCATAAGCTATCCTTTAAACTCATTATTTCTACAAAATAATTTAGATATTTCACAGTTGCCCGACGTCCCATGACGAAGGTTTTTTTAAGTATTTTTTTTTATCTATAGCCACGTCCCGTTCTTCATCGCCATCATCCCGCAGCTCCGGCCCTATGTCTTTGGCGAGCGCTCGGAGACGACCTTCTGGAATTCCTCGCTCTCTAGCCGGCTCTAGAGAAACTAGTCCTACCAGGTTAGATATTATCTACTTATATACTTAAACCTCCTTTCTCAGGAGAGGCTTATGTCCAGCAGTGGACTATTAAAGGCTGTTGATGATGATATACTTACTAGCTGAGACCCGCGGTGTTACCCGCGTTTGTTGTTATAACCGCCTAAGTTACTCCTTATGTCATCAGCTATCAGAAAATCCCGTCGAAATCGGTCCAGCCGTTCCAGAGATTACCCGGAACAAACAGACAGACAGACAAAAATTGTAAAAAATGTTATTTTGGCATATGTACCGTGTAAACATACATATGCATTTAGTAAAAAGCGGTTATTTTAATATTACAAACAGATACTTCTATTTTATTTATTTGTATAGATGTTGCCATATACTGCTGTGGCAAACGTTACGGATAGTTGGAACCCTAAAAAGTCCGACAACAGTTTTTCTACAGAACTTCGATATCGCCTAGTATTTGGGTTGTGGAGGTCTGAGGGCAGTCGGAGTTCAGCCTTATAAAAGAAAAGTAAACCCAACCCAACCTAATTTGGGAAAAAGGCTCAGAGAAAGATATGTGGATTAAAATACCCCTGTAAGTGAGGTGCGGGGTTGCTAATCAGTAAGTAGCAGAGAAACGCACAGACACGGGAATATTGACTATTTAATCACATTATTACTACTACAAGAACTACACTACGAGAAGGCTAGCTATGGACTGCCTGGCGGGGGGGCTAGCTATCAACTGCCTGGAGGACTGGTGCAACGTGCATTTCAGGCCACGTGCAACAGTCCCCCCGCTATCTTTTCCCCGCGCCCATGCAGAAACGCGGCGCATACACAATAAAACAACAATAAGGGTACAAAACAATACTAAAAGATACAGTCTTACAATAACCGAAGCCGTGCTCCTTAACAACCCCAATAATAAAACTAGTCACTTATCGTCAGGTGAAGTGGTGTAAGTGTGTAAGTAAGTGGATTTACTGTATTTCCAACTCCTCCAATTATCGTCAGGTAAGCCAGATGCTCGTTCGCTCCCCTATGTCATGAAAAAGGTTTAATTATACGTTTTTTCTTTTACAGAACTGGTCGATCAAGCAGTGTGGTCGGTTCTGCAGTTCGCCGGAGGGAGTCGATAGAAAGGACCGCCCCCTCCCGCACTCCCTCTGCAACGTTACGGTTGCTGCAGCAGACTAGAGACGCTGAGGGAGTACTCAGGGTAATTACGTAATTAATACGGGATTTTCTTGAAATCACATTTTTAATTTATTTTGTGCATCTACCATGTTTTAGCTCTGCATCGCCCTAAGGTTGACTGGGAGAAAATGCCTACAGCATTAAGTCCGCCTTTGTCACATTTGTGCATATATGTAAATAAAATAAAAAAATACTACGTTTTACTGTTAGGTTGGCAAATAACGGGTAACTTCAAATGAATCATACTTGAGACTGTTGTTGAGGTAAAAATTTTAACTATCTGAAACTCAAACCCTCGTGGAAGATATGCCCCTCTAACACAAAGAGAGGATCCTCCGACCAGGCGAGGTGATCATGCAACCAGCTGTTGAGGTTGGGAAGTTGTATATACTTTATCCAACTTTCATCATCATCATCATCAACAGCCTTTAACAGTCCACTGCTGGACGTAAGCCTCTCCTTAGAAAGGAGGTTTTGGCCTACTATACCACGCTGGCCAGACGGGTTGGTATAGGGTTTGTGTCAAGTTTTCCTTCTCTGCAGTGCTGTTGTCCTGCGTAGTTTTTTCCCTTAGTCGACTCTTACGACACCCACGGGATGAATAGGGGTGGTGACACTCTGTATTTTTAATCCGTCACCACACGGACAACTTTAGAACTTTCATATCGCGATACAGGATACGGTATGTATTAATTAAATTGGAATTCGCCATACCCTCCAAAAGAAACCATCCAAGACTTTGCATCGACCCTTGGCAGGCAAATGATGATGCAAATTTCTCCCAACAGAGTCCAGAAGACAGTTCAACCTGCGACGATAGACGTAGAGACGACGATTCAGAAGCTTCCAGCGTATGTTCAGAACGAAGCCTGGACTCTTACAGAAGACATGATGTAAGTTGACTTATTCTTCTCTATACTGACTTTATAATCACCACTCTACCTACCTATTCCCTACTTTCATAGCGTGATGTTAAAGAGCCTATAACCTTCCTCGAAAATTAGAAATCAAATGCGTTGTTATTTATTGTCACTGGTACTTGCTATCAAAATATTTGTGTCCGTTTCATGTATGTCTGTAAAGTCCCCCGCGACATAGGATATATTCCTAGTGCGGGAGTTGTCCGGGAGTGCCGACAGAAGGGAAAAGATGAAAATTTAAATTTTTTTGATTGTAATAGGATTCCTTTACGTACGTATAGTATGTTGTACGTATATCTATACTAATATTATAAAGCTGAAGAGTTTGTTTGTTTGATTGTTTGTTTGTTTGTTTGAACGCGCTAATCTCAGGAACTACTGGTCTGATTTGAAAAATTCTTTCAGTGTTAGATAGCCCATTTATCGAGGAAGGCTTTAAGCTATATATCATCACGCTAAGACTAATAGGAGCGGAGCACCAATGAAAAATGATCCAAAAACGGAGAAAATTTATAACTATTGAGAGACGCAGACGAAGTTGCGCGGGTCAGCTAGTACACAATATATGTTTATATTATTAATGAATTTCAACCCAAACTCAACTCTCTTGTAACCGGGCCAATATATGTAGATACAGACTGCACGGATGGCGTAGTGGTTTAAGCGGTCGCCACGCCGCTTCCTACTACGCCGAGTGTTGTGGGTTCAAACCCCACATGGGACGACACTTTGTGTGATCCACAAATTGTTGTTTGACGCTGGGTGTTCTTTGTGTCCGTTTCATGTATTTTTGTAAAGTCCCCCGCGATACAGGATGTATTCCTAATGCGGGAGTAGTCTTTTATAATATATAAATATATATATATATATATACTTATATACAGAGGTGTCGGTAACGTTTCGGTTTCCCATCTCAAAAAATACATTATTTTGTTTGTTGTTCAAAAATTCCCAACGCGCATAAATTAGTTGTCACTTCAAAAAAGAAAAATGTGTGGGATAAGAGGCACTCAGCCCAGGGTCTAGGGTCTCTTGAATCGCACGTGTCTATGGGCAATGATAATCACTTACTCTCAGACAAACCGTCTCCTCGTTTGCTCCCTATAACATACATTATTTTCTCATTAAAACTAAAAAAGTAACTAGTACGTAGAAAAATACACTACCGCATGTTTAGGAATGGAAAAAGCCGTTCCTTCCTGGAAAAATCCTGAATATCCTGTTCTATCAGGATCATCATCATCATCAGCCTATCGCAGTCCACTGCTGGACATAAGCCACTCCCATTACACGCCACTTAGATCGATTTTGGGCTTCTCAACATAATCATATTTGGCTGATTATCCTGATTAGGATAATTTATCAAATTATTGTATTGTCATCGGTTCTTGAGAAGTGTGCGAAGTTTTAATTTAATCCGACGTTTTTCCGAAGATTCCGTAACATACAGACATACCAAGCCAACAAAAGCTTTAAAAAAAAAGAAAGAAAGACGAGACCAGAATCCTATTGGGTACAAACAATGTTTGTCAAAATCATATTCACCCACCACCTTCCATCTATTTCCTTACCGCCTCCTAGATCCTATTTTTTGTCCCATTTCAGCGTGTCCTGAAATACGTGTCTGTTTTGGCGGTTACTATGAAACTTAAAAAGGTATTATGTTGTTTAAGCTTTTTTCTTTTTAATATGATAAGCCAGCGAACCGACAATGGGTGGGAAATAATAGTTTTAGAGACGAAAACGGGCCGTAGCAGCTTTAAACCCCTCCCCTTGTTATTACCCTTTAAAGCAGGTAAGTTCATCAATAGTGTTGACTGCACGGATGGCGTAGTGGTTTAAGCGGTCGCCACATGGGACGACACTTTGTGTGATCCACATATTGTTGTTCTAAGTCTGGGTGTTTTTTTTGTGTCCGTTTCGTGTATGTTTGTAAAGTACCCCGCGACACAGGATATATTCCTAATGCGGGAGTTGTCTTTTAAAAGAGACGAGAGAATAGGCTCAAGGGAGGTAACCTGATGGCTCTATCCGCGGTGCCTTTAAAACTCTTGCGTTGGCAATCCATACTTATATTAATAACTAGCTGGTATCCTCGACTTCGTTTGCATGGAATTTGAAAAGCGCTGTCTTAGTCGTGTAGTACGGTAAGCGAATGCAGTCCATGAGGCCTCGGGTTCGATACCCGGATCTGGCTAAATTTTATAGGGTTTTTCTGAAAAGAAAATAGCCTAAGTTACTTCTCATATAGAGAGCTACCTGGTAGTATAATATTTTCAAGATTACTCGGAACAAACAGACAGACAAAAATACTTAAACTAGATTTTAACCTTGTGAGCATGAAAAAAACGACATTACAAACAGACACTTCAATTTTTAACCGACTTCAAAAAAAGGAGGAGGTTATCAATTCGACTTTTTTTTTATTTTTTATGTTTGGTACCTGTGTTTTTATTAATTTGTATAGATGTGAAAGTGAGTTGTTTGTTTCTTTTTTTTCACTAAGCCGATTTTCAAAATTCTTTCTCCAATGGAAAGCTAGATTATCAGCCAGTAACAGAGGCTAATTTTTACCGCCATAACTGACACACACGTGGGGATCAAAAGCCATTATTTAATATGTAACAAAATTATCACCCGACTTCAAAGCTGTATTCTTGGTTCTTTAACTTTCTACCATTAGTAGTATGATTATTTCACAAAAAAAGGCGAAAACAAGATAATTAACTTAAAAAAGTCTGTACTTCATTTATAAGTACAATCAATTAAATAAATCAGTACAGATTGACTGCCTCGAGGGTAGGACTAAATGTTTGTATGATCTGTAAATATTTGTTTCTGAGTTAGGTTAGGTTTTCTATGTGCAATACGTATGTATTTACAAAAAAAAATGTATAAAAGTATTATATAATACTGAGGGTCAGAAGGGAACTCACACTCGTCTCGTACCTGTTTAGGGTACTTAGGGGTGGGATACATAATGAAGACGTGTTAGGACGAGTCAGCATATGTGTTCCGGACAGATACGTGTGGCGGCGCCGCCGGCCGCCGCTGTTGGCTGTCCCGTGCGGGCGCACCAACCTGCAGAGAGAAGCACCGCTGACGCGCGCACTACGTACTCTGAATATAATTGCGGACGAAGTAGATTTATTTTATTGCTCACTGAGTGAATTCACAATAACAGCATTAAGAATTATTTCTTATAATAAATAAGTAGATGGTATAACACTATTGCATTGGGCTAAGCCTGTAAAAATAGTTGTTTTTAAAGAAAATAAATAAATAAATAATAATAGTATAAATATATATATCTCACACACGACCGTCTGGTCCCAAAACTAGGCAGATCCTGTACTATGGTAACCAGACTGCTGATAAACATACTTATATATTTTTTAAACAGATACATATTTATGGACAAATTACACCCAGACACAGAACCACAATTCTATCATTCAATCTAGCTGTCATAGTATCAGCGAGGGAATTTTCACTGTGTGATACAACATCAGTAGTAGCTATGTAGTTCGGTTCTGTTTCGGTGGATGGCGCTGTAGCAATTTTTTTTAATTGTGTATATGTATTCCACAAAGACATGTTCTACTCAACCGTTTATATGTTTTACAGAGTGTATCTTGGTCCGGTTCAGCATCACGTCTGGGTTGGGAGTGCGGGTCGCCTCCCCCACCGCCTCCGCCGGACGATATCATTGCGCTGTGTGCGTGTACGCACTGGACTGAACGGAAAGATGGCCTCACGCACTTGGTAAGCTACTAAACACAATACATATAATCATATATATCACTCTTTTCTGAGAACACATACACACACATACTCACGTCTTTACCCCCGTAGGGGTATTTCTAATATACGCTCACATTGTGCCGACCAGGCACATATATTTCAATATAAACATACTTATATTTTTCTAAATACATACATAATATAATACACAAATTACACTAAATATTTACATCATCAACAGCCCTGACTAGTCCACTGCTGGACAGGCCTCTCCTTAGAAAGGAGGTTTTGGCCTACTATACCACGCTGGCCAGACGGGTTGGTATAGGGTTTGTGTCGTTTTCCTTCTCTCTGCAGTGGTATTGTGCTGCGTACTTTGCTTCCTTAGTCGCCTCTTACGACACCCACGGGATGAATAGGGGTGGTGACACTCTGTATTCTTAATCCGTCACCACAATATTTACATACGTAATAATATGCCCATTGCGTCAGTTCCCATACATAAATACAATTATACAGGATTACTGGTTAAGGCTACCTAGATACTTTATAGTAGGGGAGCCCATGATGCTAAATGGGAGTTTACTCGAGCGTCATGGGGACCTATTGCATTTGAAAGATTAGATAATATAATAGAATGAATAAAAGGTATATATTGTTGCCACTTTTAGCGTTGGGAAAAGTTTCTACAGGTTATCAAAAATGTAAGGGGAATTAAACGAAAAAAATATTCGGGCGCATCAGATATTTTGGGGATATGTTATTTGGACGTCAAAAATCCTCCCATTAAAAGGTCTGACGAATTAAAAGTAAAACTGCAAATTCGAAAAATCGCCATTTCGAAATACCCGAGATTGCCCGAGATTCAGACAGACGGTTCAGCTTGACGTTCCTGTCACACTAGCCAAAAATCTGACGATAATTTTGCAGGGTATTTACAATTTGACAATTTGAACAGTATTTAGATTTTTCCCTTTTTTTTATAAAATGTGACAAATCAAGGCACGAAAAATAACGTAGACATTTAAAAAAGGTTTCTTTCATTGTTTGCTTCAAAAAAAAGAAATGTCAAGGTCATGTGCATTTTCTTGGAACCCTTTGTGACCCTTCCACTGATTCATGTCACGCTCAAATCGTCAGATTTTTTTAAAACACACACTAATGTGTATGTAATGATCGACTTACCTTAATCTTACACGCTCGAGTATTCCTGGACATCTATTTTTTTTTGACGGATTAAGAATACAAATTGTCACCACCCCAATTCATCCCGTGGGTGTCGTAAGAGCCGACTAAGGGAGCAAACTAAGCAGGACAACAGCACTGCAGAGAGAAGGAAAACTTGAAACAAACCCTATACCAACCCGTCTGGCAGCGTGGTATAGTAGGCCAAAACCTCCTTTCTAAGGAGAGGCCTATGTCCAGCAGTGGACACAGGCTGTTGATGATGATTTTTTTTTTACTGTGATGGGCTGCCCTAGACTACGTATGTATGTGTATGTAGGGCTCATGTAAGGAGAAGGTACTCAACTGGGTGTAAGGTATTCCTCCTGTTCACGACACGCTCAAGTAAATCCCGAAATCCCTTCTAGGGCTCCCCTGCTATTTAGGAGGTTGTAGTTGCCATCATTGCTGATAACTTTCACTATGATTCCAGACCTCTGTTTAGTTAACAAACTGGGCCGAAGTAGATGGTTAATAATAGCAAAAAGAAAACAAAAATGTTTTTCTTTAACGAATATTTAAAACAAAATCCACAACAGTTAAGTTTCAGACATATATTGCGAGCTATCTAATAAGTCCAGGATAGTATCAGAATTCATAGCAAAAAAAACTTTGATAAAAAACCGGAAGTATTAAGAATTAGCGTACAAATCTTTTTGAACTGTTTCCTTTTCTATTCGACTACTAGGTCGACTTAACCAATAACCCTGTGTATTATAACTACAAACTGGAGCCCAGACCGTTCCTCCCTCTAATTCTGTTGGGAGGACTCAAAGGGCGGCGACTTATCACTCTTGGGTGCAGATTTCTATGGGCGGCAGTAGTTACTTAAAAACATAAACGGTGAAGGGTAACCATTCGTGTGTGTATATACAGTACATTCGCGTTAAGAAAATAGTGACGCGTGGCTCAACTTCCGCCCCTCTTTTTTTTAATGTGCGGAAATCTCTTTGGATACCACCCACCGGTGGTTATGTCGGGCTCTAACCGACTAAAAATCTCACATTATCTCAGGTACCAGTAGTCGGTGAACACGGTGTACCCTAAGAAGGAAGTCCCGCCCCCTGACTAATCCGGCCCCAAGCTTTAGTACGAAACTATAATTTCTTGGAACCTGATTGGCCAGAGTGGGGCTATATCACTTCGTCACTATTTTCTTAACGCAAATGTAGTATAGTTCTATAACCCATGAAATCTGTATGCTTATCTGAGCTCTAGTAGCACAAAAATCTTATAACGTGACACGTTTGAACAGGCCAACTACCTAAACAGTGGTCGTCTGCTAACCGACGATCAACTCCGCCGCCTGACCGAGCTGCTCAACAAGATGTTCGTGGATGCCCACACCAAGGTGTTCTCCCTATTGCTGGATGCTGTCTGCGAACTGCTGCTCGTGCACTGGCAGCAGCTCAAGGACTGGCTCTATCAGCTGATGTTCAGGTAAGAAACTCCAACAATTATAATTAGGGATCAGCTGTCTATTAAGTTTTGATGATTTTAAATTTCTTATTTTATTTCAGTGACTAGTATTACTTGAACCTTCATGGTATAGACTTTTGTGTACCATGACAGGTCAATATATACAGGGTATAAGGGAAATCGTAACGATTACTGAAACAGTGTTTTCAGACCATCACTCTGAGTCGAAAATCATTGGAATTTTCTGGCGGTTTTTTTTTTAATTTCCATTTTTTTTGGTTATAAATGATGAAACATAATATCACAATGAGTAAACAGAACATTTTACCCAAAATAATTCAATAAATACCGCATACGGTCAAAAACTGCAATGTAATTAATCAAACAGCCGAAGCGCGCGGGGCCTCCATTCCGCCTGCCAACTTGTGTTAGTGTGCGTAGACTGTTTGCACAGAATACACATGTAGTTATTACTTTTGTGCGATACCTACGGGGTATGACCTTAACCTTTGACAGCTGATTGCATAAAAAGTTTAATTTTCCGGCAGAAAATTCCAACTATTTTCGACTCAGAATGATAGCCTGAACACTATTTCAGTATTCGTAACGACGTCCCTTACACCCTTTATATTAGACAGTTCTATGTAGCCGTTTTTAAATATATTTTTTCAACATTACAGTAAATATTGTTTAAAATGTTAGCTTACTGCATTTCTATATAAAAAATTAAGTATTCTTCACGTTAGCTGTATTTACACTATTTATTGTTTGTTCATCATCATCACATATCATCAAAATAAATAAATAATGTTTTAATATACTCTATATTAAAACATTATTTATTTATTTTTTATGTTGGTCTAGTGGACCCTGACTGCTAAGCCGTTCGATCTAAGCAGGGTTCGATTCCCACCCAGGACAGATATTTGTCTGATGAGCACGATCGTTTGTTCTGTCTGAGTGTAATTTATCAGCAGTCGGGTTACCATAGCACAGGCTCTGCCTGGTTAGGGATCAGACGGTCGTGTGTGAGATGTGTAAGGTTATTATTATTTATTGACAGATTGCTGATGAAACTAGGAACTGACATATTGGGTTCGGTGCAGAGCAAAATAATGAAGACACTGGATGTTATACATGAATGCTTCCCTGCCGAGTTACAGCTGCATAATATATTCAGGTGAGTTTTTACTGAAATTTACTCTTTGCACCTTTATTAACCATGTGATAATTTTATAACAATAGTCATGGTATAGCTTGTCCGTGTAGTGACGGATTAAGAATACAGAATGTCACTACCCCAATTCATCCCGTGGGTGTCGTAAGAGTCGACTAAGGGAGAAAACTACGCAGAACAACAGCACTGCAAAGAGAAGGAAAACTTGACACAAACCCTATACCAACCCGTCTGGCCAGCGTGGTAGGTCCAGCAGTGGACTATTAAAGGCTGTTGATGTGATGTGATGTGAATCATGATCATCGTTAAAAGCCTTTAGTAGTCCACTGTTGGATATAGGCTTCTCCTTAGAAAGGAGGTTTTGGCCTACTATACCACGCTGGCCAGACGGGTTGGTATAGGGTTTGTTTCAAGTTTTCTTTCTCTTTACAGTGTTATTTTCCATAGTTTTGAGTCCCATGAGATATGCCTTATGCCTATCCCAGACCTTACTCTTTACTCACACAGTTTTCTTTAACTTTGTTTAGAGACTAAAAAAAATACAATTCAGTGGTTTGTTTCTTCCCAGAGTGAGTCTTAGGAAATGTCGGCTCCATGTAGCTGTAAAGTCCGACTTGTAAAACTATCTGAAAAGATTTACTTAAGTAAATATATATCATTTGTTAGGTTCCTAGCAGACGGTGCGACGGCGCCTACACTAAAAACGAAAGCGGCTGCCCTGAGGTTCTTAGCAGACCTAGCTCATGATTACTGTACTCCTAATAGTTTAGCTGTTGCACTCCAAGGTAAGCGTTATTATATGTGTATATTCTAGGTTTTTCTAGGTACAGATACTTTACTACTTTACTCTGTTTGACGACCGGATGGCGTAATGATTTGTGTAACGGACTGCTATTTCAAAATTCGCGGGGTTCGATTCCCGCTCAAGTCAAACATTTGTGTGCATGAACATTTAATGTTTGATTTGGTCTGGGTGTTTCTATATATAATATGTATGTATTTACAAAAAAAAAGTAAATATGTATTTATATCAGTTGTCTAGTACCCATAGTACAAGCTTTGCTTAGTATGGTATTAGATGGTGTTGTGTGAATGTTGTTTAATATTATTTTTATTTGTTACCACGTTGTGCTGTATTTCTGGCAATATATGCGAAATTTTATGATGACCACACGAACGATAACTCAGTAAATGAAATATGAGCAAATAAAAATGATATATATGTGTAAATGATTAAAATTTGCCCGCGTCTTTGCTCGTTTCAACTAAACGAATCACCTATATAATAATTGTATAAGTAAATAATAGGTATTTACCTATGAAATTGCCGTTTTGTATGCAATAAGTGAAAGTACTTATTTTTTCAATTTTTTCTATTTCTGTTATTCGAAGTAATCACCCATGCAATCGACGCATTGGCAGTTTATTGATGCCCTTCTTGTAAAAATCAGCTGGACGGGAGGCAACAAACTCTTCAAAGGCATTCTGTACTGCCTCTCGGGAATTGACTTTTTAACCCACTAAAGAGTTGACTAAATTTTGGAAAAAGTAATAGTCGGTAGGTGCAAGGTCTAATATTAGATGTAGATTTTCTAAATGAATTCATGTATCTCTCTGGAACACTACTAAAAGCTGAATCGTGTGTGTGGTCCAGGAGGAGCGGCGGGAGTGGCGGGTCGCGCGCTGGTGAAGGTGTCGGCGCAGGCGGCCGACCCGCGCGCGCACGACCTGCGCCTCGCCGCACGCCGCGCGCTCGCCGCGCTCTACGACTGCAACCCTGTGCCCGTACGTACTGCACCCTGCACCACACACCACCACCTGCACCACCTGCACTACACACCACCACCCTCGTACTCCACTACTTGCCAACTTTAAACTTGCAAGCCACAGACTCAATTACACCTCGATGTACACTTCATAATATCTTCCATTTATTTTATTTATTTATTTAAAAAAAAGACAACTCCCCCGCGTTAAGAATATATCCTGTGTCGCAGGGGACTTTACAAACATACATGAAACGGACACAAATAACACAGACTCAGAACAACAATTAGTGAATCACACAATGTGTCGTCCCATGGGGGGATCGAACACACAACGCTCAGCTTATCGATTTCCATTTAATTCATCTCGGTTTTCTTCATTTATCTATACTAATATTATAAAGCTGAAGAGTTTGTTTGTTTGTGTGTTTGTTTGTTTGTTTGAACGCGCTAATCTCAGGAACTACTGGTCCGATTTGAAAATTTTTTCCAGTGTTAGATAGCCCATTTATCGAGAAAGGCTATATATCATCACGCTAAGACCAATAGGAGCGGAGCACCAATGAAGAATGTTTAAAAAACGGAGAAAATTTTATTACTATTGAGAGACGCAGACGAAGTTGCGCGGGTCAGCTAGTACAACATAAATTAAAACTATGTTTGATTTGTCCAAATGTAACGTGTGAAATGAAAAAGAATAAATAAAATTATTATTAAAAAGATTAACAAATTTGACCTCTGAACCCCTTTTACACGCATTTTTTTACTAACTTTAACCCCCTTTACTCTCTTTTTTATGTATTTTTTTACTTATTTTAAATGCCCCTGTTGTTTGGGATCAGAAAGTCATAGAAAACACCAATGATAATACGCTACTATAAAGTTACTAGTAGACCAAACCAGTAGTATCCATTATAAACTTACATATTAATCGTATCATGTTGTACTAAAATCGATCTAAATGGCATGCAATGGCAGATACCACTTACCGGTGGCAATGTCGGACTCAAACCGACTAAAACCGCACGCCGTCTCAAGTACCAGTAGTCGGGGAACCAGGTGTACCATAGAAAGGAAATCCCTTTTGCCCCGATGTACCTCGGGCCATCTACGGCGGATAGACAGGCCTATGTCCAGCAGTGGACTGCGATAGGCTGATGATGATGATGATGAACCCATAAAACACTATCACCCTTTTGTCATAATTTTTTTTTATCATTTCAGTTCACGACGCTTATGAGCGAGCTCCCGCCAGAAACACAAGCTCTAGTCAACGGAGTTGTTCAACAGCACGTCAGAAGAACATCTAGCAGTATGTATCAAACGTTTAAACACATTACCGTATCACATGCGTAGTGGTTTGTGTAACGGACTGCTATTTCAGAGTTTGCGGGTTCGATTCCCGCTCAAGTCAAACATTTGTGTGCTTGAACATTTAATGTTTGATTTTGTCTGGGTGTTTCTATGTATAATATGTATTTATTTACAAAAAAAAAGTATATATGTATTTATATAAGTTGTCTAGTAGTTGTCTAGTACAAGCTCTGCTTAGTTTAGGACTAGATGGCGTTGTGAGATAGTGGTAGAATATTGGTATTATTATTATATAGGTGGGCAAACGACCAGAACGGGTCTCCTGGGCCTCAATTCTGCTATTTTATGGTAACATACAAGCTACTGTCATTCTATTGACACGCCATTGAGATGCCATTGACAACTGTCAAAATATCGGTATTCTACTAACGTAAATTCACAGTCTCAATAGACTGTCGATGTAGTGACAATCGCTCATCAATTGCGATACCAACTAAATTGCCATATCTGGTAAATTAATTATATTATTTCCTTAACATCACACACATCAACACCCTTTAATAGTCCACTGCTGGACATAACCCTCTCCTTAGAAAGGAGGTTTTGGCCTACTATACCACGCTGGCCAGGCGGGTTGGTATAGGGTTTGTGTCAAGTTTTCCTTCTCTCTGCAGTGTTGTTGTTCTGCAAGTATTTATGTATGTGTATTTGGTACGTATGTATGTATATTTATCTCATTGTTTCTGTCTAACTTATCAATATATTTTTTTGACGACCGAATGGCGTAGTGGTTTGTGTAACGGACTGCTATTCCAAAGGTCGCGGGTTCAATTCCCGCTCAAGTCAAGCATTTGTGTGCATAAACATTTAATGTTTGATTTGGTCTGGGTGTTTCTATATATAATATGTATGTATTTACAAAAAAAAAGTATATATGTATTTATATCAGTTGTCTAGTACCCATAGTGCAAGCTCTGCTTAGTTTGGTTCTAGATGGCGTTGTGTGAATGTGGTACAATATTATAATTATTATATTATATTATTATATCAATGTCTAGTGCACCTAATCACACATTTCAGCACCACCCTAAGGTAGATCTGGAGAAAATGAGTGTGGCATTAAGTCCGCCATTTTTTAATTAATACTTGTGCATAAAGCTTTAAAATAAAATGTGTGTGTTATAAATAATAAACGATATGTTAATACTTGTCCGTCCATGCAGCAGGCAGCGACAGCCCGCTCCGCACGGTGAGCGGCGCGTCCAACTCCGCGGCGGAGGACGTGTACTCGCGCATCAGGAAAACCACCTCCGAGATACACACCTACACCGCGCAGCATTCTAACGGTACCTCCCACTCTTATAGCTTCTATTATTACTTCTGGTGTTTGGGGGTGACCCTGACTGCCGGAGGTCGTATGTTTGATTACCAGCTAGGACAAATATTGTGTGATGAGCACGATCATTTGTTCTGTGTCTGTGTGTAATTTATTTATAATATGTATTTACGGTTCCACTCCATTCTTTGAGATAGACTGACACCAGCTAACATTGACGTGTGTTAACATCTTGAAAAATAAAAGAAAAAAAGGTGATTATTCTGAGAAATGGTTATTAACCCTACCCCGCTGATCCTGGGGGGATTGCTTATCATCAGATGACCACAAAATTGAAGTCGGCAAAATGAGTGTGTTTAAACGCGTCTGCATACTCTTTCAGATATATTGATGTGTATGTCATCATCAACAACAGCCTGTAATAGTCCACTGCTGGACATAGGCCTCTTCTTAGAAAGGAGGTTTTGGCCTACTATACCACGCTGGCTAGACGGGTTGGTATAGGGTTTCTTTCAAGTTTTCCTTCTCTTTACAGAGCTGTTGTCCTGCGTAGTTCACTCCCTTAGTCGGCTCGTACCCACGGGATGAATAGGGGTGGTAACACTTCGTATTCTTAATCCGTCACCACATGTATTTAGAAATATATAAGTATGTTTATCAGCAGTCTGGTTACCATAGTACAGGCTCTGCCTAGTTTGGAATCAGACGGCCGTGTGTGAGATGTTTCAAGCTATTATATTGTCTGTTTGTTTGTCCAGCGGACTGCGGTAACCACATGTCAAGCAAAGACTCGGGGATAAGCCAGATGTCTGACGTCACATTATCCAACAAAGCACAGAACGGAGTACCCAATGGACATTATAATGCGTAAGTTTTTATACATATATATTAATAACAAATTTCCGTATCGTCTATCCGATTTTATCATATCTGCTTTCCCTTATTCATATATACGTATTATATTTCAACGAACTGTTGGTTAGTGGTCTTGGGTTCGACGAACTGTTGGTCACTTTCCATCAGGTGACCCGGCTACTCGTCTGCCCGCTCTGACATAAAAAAAATGCTGTATATACGCTTGTGGTACAGAGATGTGCTGGGCCGCGCGGCGTCAGCCGACAGCTCCGAGGAGGCCAGCAGCACCAAAGAGTCATCACCCGTCCCTGCTCATCACAGGATGGACTTCGGGCAACAACATGGGTATGTGGTATCATTGTAGCTCTACATACATCTATACATATATAAGAGATTTCCACGTATATAGTCACTCATCACGATATCTCTGGAACCATTAGAGCTAAAGACTTGAAATTTGGTAGGAATATTCTTTGAGGTCAGCTAAGAACGGATTTTAAGAAATTCAAAAAAAAAATTGAAGTAATGTAAATAGCAAAACAACGTTTGCAGGGTCAGCTAGTACATTATAAAATTGCAGGTATCTACGAGCGACTTAGATACAAATGGGACCAAACCGCAATAAAAAAAAGTGTGTGCAATTCACACACGGCAGAATTGAAACTTTTTCATCTCAGAAACCCTCTATAAAATGTTGCCCGGCGCGGGAATCGAACCCACTAAGGCAGCGTTTTTCAAATTTCACACGAACGAAGTCGGTACCAGCTAGTATTAAATAAAAAGAGAAAATATTCACACTGTCAAAATATTATATTAAATAAAAATTATGTTTTGAATAAAATATTTTGACGTTTGTTTCGTGTTTTGTTTCTTTATTGTGACGCATTTTCGTTTCATCAAGTTTCAAATCACAACGATTTTAAAGAAGTTCCACTTCAATAAAGCGAGGAAATAAAAACATTTTCCTTTCCAATAGTAACAGTTTAGTAAAACAAAAAAATACACACACACCGAATTAAAAACTAAAAAAACGATTCACTATCATCTTTATGACTTAATTATCAGACCATCGTTATTAAACACAATCTGTGGGACTTGTCAAAACGTATATATGATACTCGGCCGTGTGAAAGCCATCATCAGCATTTAGCAGTCCACTGCTGGACATAGGCCCCTAGTACATTAAGTTAATGGATTAAGAATACGGAGTGTCACCACCCCTATTCCTCCCGTGGGTGTCTTAAGAGCCAAGGGAGCAAACTACACAGTGACAACAGCACTACAAAGAGAAGGAAAACTTGACACAAACCCTATACCAACCCGTCTGGCCAGCGTGGTATAGTAGGACTAATAAAAGCAGTGGACTAATAAAGGCTGTTGATAATAATGAAATGATGATAATGAATAAATGATGTCTATTGAATGGTTACAGAACTTTAAGTAGTTAGTTAAAAGAAATTAGTTCAGTTGGACTATTTCAATTATTTATAACTTTAAGTTGATTATTATACAAATTATTAGTAATCTTTTTGTTACAGGGAGTACAATTCTAACAACTTGGGCCGAGATAAGTTAAGACCGTACGAGACAGACGAAGATGGGTTCATCATCACTAAATGTAAGTAAACGTGCTTATACCATACCATACTCTATACTATACGCACCACAGACTACATGTCACTATACAGTATACGAGGGGTGATCAATAAGTAATGATAATCAATATGAAACAGAACTATTAGATTAAAAAAAGTATTTTATTTTTCAACATAGTCTCCTTGCAAGTTAATACATTTAGTGTATCTTTTTTCTAAGCCCATGATTCCCTTAGAAAAAAAATCTTTGTCTTGACCCTCCCAAAATGCCTCTACTGCGGCCATCACTTCACTATTGTCCTCAAATTTGTTGCCCCGGAGATGTTCTTTGAGCCGAGGAAAGAGGTAGAAGTCACTGGGAGCTAGATCTGGCGAATAGGGAGGGTGTTCGAGCAGTTCGAACCCCGTTTCTTCAATGGCAGCCATCGCAACTGCGGCTTTGTGAGCCGGGGCGTTGTCTTGGTGAAACAGCACTCCAGCGCGCAGTTTACCGCGTCTTTTTGACTTAATAGCTTCTCGCAATCTTCTTATTTGGCCTGCGTAGTAAGAGCCTGTTATAGTGGCCCCCTTTTCCAAATATTCCACCATAATAATTCCTTCTGCATCCCAGAAAACAGACGCCATAACCTTTCCCGCTGAACTTGACACTTTGAATTTCTTCGGCGTTGGTGAGGAAGCTCGTTTCCAAGTCATTGATTGTTGTTTGGTTTCGGGATCAAAGTGGTGGATCCAGGTCTCGTCCATGGTCACAAAACGCGACAAAAAAAATTCTTTATCGGCCTGGAACTTTTGAAGATTCACCCTCGAAATGTCGACTCGTTTCTTTTTTTGCTCGTCGGTTAACATTCTCGGTACCCAACGCGCAGAGACCTTTTTCATATGCATTTTGTTGACAATGATTTTTTGAACGCTGCCATAGGAGATCCCTGTGACCTCAGCTACATGCCTTACGGTCACCCTTCGATCGGCCAACACGATATCTTCCACTTTTTGACGTTTTCTCCAGTAAGGGACGTGGAAGGGCGTCCCTCGCGATGTTCATCTTCAGTGGAGGTTCTGCCCAGCTTAAATTCCTTTGCCCAGCGTGCGACTGTGGAATATGGAGGAGCAGACTCCCCCAATGTTTCCTCTAAGTCGCTGTGTATGTCTTTGGTAGACATTTTTTTCAGGCAGAGGTACTTGATGACAGCTCTTATTTCATTTTTCTCCATTTTGATGTTTTCTCTTCGACAGTTCGTATTCAAATGAATGTATCTCCCGGTAATGGTGTCCTATTTATACATTTTTTTGAAGCTGAAGTAGTGGATATATAAGCAAGCAGAAAAATAATAATTTGGGTTTTTGTGCGTTCTAGAAATACTCGATTATCATTACTTATTGATCACCCCTCGTAGTCCATCTTATTGCCTGTAAGAGATCGCAGACTGCGATAAGGCCGCCCATTGTATAGATAGTTCAACTCAGTTGTGCGCGCGGCCCTATGTGTGCGTGGGCTTGTAAATATACAACTTTCATTCGTGTGGCAGTGACGCGGCAGTCGGACGACGACTGCCATAGGGCCGCGCGCACAACTGAGTTGAACTATCTATACCACTGATTTTTTTTAAATTTTATGTTTATATTACATTGTATGTTTTCTATCCATATTGTGTAATAAAGAGTACCTATCTATCATGCTATTTAGCCCATTTCAAAAGAAGGAAGTACCCATTTCGACTGAAATTATTGTGTATTTAACGGATTTGTAAACCGATTTGAATTATTAATTTTTTTAATTTGCCATCATAATGAAATATTCTTAATTCCAATAGTGAGAAATTAAGTGATTAAGAATACAGCTTTTTTTATAATTTAGTACGGGCACATTCAAATTGGTAATAATAAATGTTCGTATGTGTGATCCTTGTGACAATAGATTCACACACTTGGTGTGAATCTATTGTCATAAGGAACGCTATGAATTGATATATTAATACGTGAGGGTAATTCTTTGCACGCATTTTTAAGTAAACGCGTTCTTACGGGTATGTCAAACATGAAACAATGTAGATATGTAAAAATGAGTACTGTTGGTATCATTATATATAGTACTAGCTGAGCCGCGCAACTTCGTCTGCGTCTCTCAATAGTAATAAATTTTCTCCGTTTTTGAAACATTCTTCATTGGTGCTCCGCTCCTATTGGTCTTAGCGTGATGATATATAGCCTATAGCCTTCCTCGATAAATGGGCTATCTATCACTGAAAGAATTTTTCAAATCGGACCAGTAGTTCCTGAGATTAGCGCGTTCAAACAAACAAACAAACAAACAAACTCTTCAGCTTTATAATATTAGTATAGAATATATTTTGGACTGTATGTATATATATGTTGTGTGTATGTGTATACATATATATATATATATATATATATTATGTTGATGTAAGTGTGTATTTATGTATGTATGTGTATTTATCTATGTGTAATGTGAACAGATGTTTATTTGTGTATGAATAATTTTGTTGTTATTGTTAAATATTCACGTGATATTGCGACTTTTTAAATATCTAACATCCGTATTAAGGTTGTCTGTAAGAGATCGCCGTGAGCGATAAGACCGCCGATTGTTACGTATATATATTTGTGAGTATCTTATGTGTTACGTATCCAGTACATATTTCGACCTATCATGGTACAAAGTTCTATGCAATGATAGTTCAAGTTATACTGGACATGACATTCCATGTATATTTACTGGCTTTTGGCTACGATTTCGATAACGTTAACATTAAATATTATCAATAAATTCAGGTATTACATAGAAAATTGAAGAATACTCACCTTTAACAACATGTACGCAAAGTTTAATGATAATGACTGCACGGATGGGGTAGTGGTTTAAGCGGTCGCCACGCCGCTTCCTACTACGCTGAGTGTTGTGAGTCCGATCCCCACATGGGACGACACTTTGTGTGATTCACAAATTGTTGTTCTGAGTCTAGGTGTTCTTTGTGTCCGTTTCATGTATGTTTGTAAAGTCCTCCGCGACACAGATATTCCTAGTGCGGGAGTTGTCTTATAAATAAATCAAAATAAAAAAAACGTTGAGTAATTGTGGCGTGTTAGCTTAACTAACAAACTTACATTCGCATTAATTATTACATTTATTGCGTAGCTGGTCTCCGCGAGCTGGACGTGCTGGAGGCGCTGTGCAAGCTGGACGTGTCGCAGGCCCCGCCCGAGCAGTGGGAGCGGCTGCTGCTCGCCACGCACGAGATACTCAAGTACGGGGACTGCAGGAAACCTGCTGAATACTTCAAGTGAGTCCAAAGTCAAAATATCTGTCATCCTCCTCGGAACCTTTCCCTTTCTTTCCAAAACTAGGTTAGGGTTGGCTTTCACTCTTCTACGACACGGCTGAACTTAGACTTTTTATATGGAGCGACTGCTATCAGACCTCCACGACCCAAGAACTATAGTTAAACCGCCGTAAGCTTGGCCCTCCTGATGGTTTGGGGGACGCGGGGCGGGGGTGCATTCAACCAATTAGCTAGTGCGTCGCTGTCCGCCGGCAGTGACTGACGTGAAAGCGTGGCTGTACGTGTTATTTTTCTTAAGACTGCTACACACGGTATTATTTTGCAATATGGATAATCTGCCGACTCTGCGTCACAAAAAGATTTAAAAACTTGAAGTTCGGCTTACAGAGGTTCTACTGTTAAAGTTCTAATAAAGAATATTTATAATTTTACTTAATTTTTAAATTGTATCTGAATATAATTTACATGATGAAGATAATGTGATTTTATTAAAATTATTTTACAGTATTAAATTTTACAATTAATCATAAAAACTTACAATACACTGACGTTATAATACATGGAAATAAATTCGATTTTATTTACATCGTGTGTAGATTAAATCTCAAACAAATAAATCTGAAGATATCGAGATAGTACATCGTGTCATGTATAGCCGAGCGCATCACCCGCCCCGCGTCCCGCAAACTATCAGGATGCCCTCTTAATTGTTTCGAAATAAAAAAATCGAAATAAAAAGCTTACGGCGGTTAAACTATAGCTGATGTCGAAGTTTTGTAGATAGACTGTAGATGGTCTTTTTAGAACTCCCAACTACCCGTAGCGATTGGCACAGATATTCATATGGCATCCGGGACCGACGCGGCGACGGCTTAACGTGCTGCGGGACGGAGGGGTCTCATTGTATTAAGAATAGTCAACCATCAATAGACTGACCTGGCTAGGATTACCTGAAATGAAATGAAATGATACTTTAATTGCAGAAATATGGTACATGGGCTGTTTATAGTTATTAGAAGAGAATCACATACTCACATACTACACATCATTTGACTGCACGGATGGCGCAGTGGTTTAAGCGGTCGCCACGCCGGTTCCTACTGCGCCGAGTGTTGTGGGTTCAAAACCAACATGGGACGACACTTTGTGTGATCCACAAATTGTTGTTCTAAGTCTGGGTGTTCTTTGTGTCAGTTTCATGTATGTTTGTAAAGTCCCCCGCGACACAGGATATATTCCTAATGCGGGAGTTGTCTTTATTTAAAATAAAAAAAAACATATTTCGTCAGTCTGTTCTGACATGCAAAATTTGAAACGTACATGCATTTTACAACAAAAGATTGATTTAATAACAAACTACTAAGCAATTTACATAATGTCAAATGTATAATTGCAATGTCAATTTTTTAAACCGATAATTATTTCTAATATAGAACAACATACAATAAAATATTATCAGGTGCTTTTGTATTTATCGCTTGTTTAGGTATTCGGTTACTGAGTATATCATTTTTTCCAAAAGCCATATTTTCAATTTCCTTTTAAATTTCAGTAGGGGCAACGCCTTTATGGTTGGTGGCAAGCTATTAAATATTTTGATACACATATTATAACATTTTTTTGGAATAGTGTAGTTCTGTTCTACCTAACTTTGCACTCGGTTATTAGAACTATACTTTAAGATATGTTATATTGATATAAACTTAATATAATATTAAAGTAATTACCTAATTGATTACTTAATTACATAAATTTTAATTAAATTACACATATACTGAATATTTTATATATTCTGCAAAAGTTTAATGGACTTGTACTAAGTAAAAATTGGTTTTGACCTCTGGCAGTAGGCACAAAGGTCATTGTACGAAATTATTGCCTTATTCCAATGGGTTGAGCCCTACGAAAAGAAAGGGCAAACAAACTCACCACAGCTCTTTTTAAATGACCAAATAGAGAGATACCCAATTATACAGGTTTCAGAGCCTGGGGGAATTTAAAATTCCCTTCTGTATGTTATGTTGCATACCTGCCTCCTACAGGCACAGGCTGTTGTCTGGAAAATTTCATATTTACACAGTTCAAAATTGTATTTTTTTTTTAATTGTTTTGTGTTTATTTGTAGAAATATTGTACGTGTCGCGCTAGCAGCGCTGTCAATGGAAGAGAATAGCGGTGACAAGGAGAATACAGAGAATGCTACCAATGCACAACAGACTTCAGGTAAATTATACAATTTAAATAGCTTTTTGGGCAGTATAAAAGTACAGAAAAGGATACATGTATGAATTTTTAATTAAATAAGAAGGGAGCCAATTTATTTCGTTGAATTTGAAATGTATAGTTTTTTTTTAGTATGTAAATCTGAGTAAAATGTAGGTTTCTAATGTTAGTTCATATTTTAGTAAAATTTCTGGTGGTTTTAAGTGTTTCGACGGCCTACCTTAATGTTAGCGGTAGCAGGCGTCAGTGTCGTATTCCGGGTTGTTGATCTTGACCATATTGGTTAGCCTACACAATGGCTGGGGCCCGTATTCCGTCTGTATGGACGGGCCGACTCAAAACTATGGTCCTGTCTTCAAAAGGCCATCCAAAACCCTATACTGCACTCACGTAGTTCTCTGTAACAATGTACATGGACTTACAAAAAATGACACCTCTGCGGTTGGTTTCGGCGTTTCTACCCAGAGTGAGTCTTAGGAAATGCGGGCGCCTTCCAGCTGTAAAGTCGGACTTGTCACATCACATCACATCAACAGCCTTTAATAGTTTGCTGGACATAGGCCTCTCCTTAGAAAGAAGGTTTTGGCCTACTATACCACGCTGCCAGGCGGGTTGGTATAGGGTTTGTGTCAAGTTTTCCGTCTTTTTGCAGTGCTTTGTTTTGCGCCCTTAGTCGGTTCTACGACACCCACGGGATGAATTGGGGTAGTGACATTCCGTATTCTTAATCCGTCACTACACGGACTTGTAAAAATATCTAAAAAAAATAGATAGATAGAAAGAAAACTTTATTGGTACACCGTTTTACAAGTAGTATGGTACATAAAATATCTGACATGTAATGTACAAAGAGCGAAAAGATTTAAGAATAAGAACTTTCGTAATATACATCAATTGATATTGGCATTACAGAAAATCTGTATTTACCAGAGTCCTCCCCCCAACCCTTGGGGTGACACTTGTATCTCGTTAAATTGCAGGTGTCTACAGCCGGCACCAGGGGCTTCCTTTCTAGGGTATACCTGGTTCCCCGGCTATTAGTACCCGAGACGGCGTGCGGTTTTAGTCGGTTCGAGTCCGACATGCCACCGATAGGTGGTATCCGAGGGGATTTCCGCACGGAAAAGAAAAAAAAGGTGTCTACTTATGATCAGGGCCTCTATTCTGCTATTTTATGTTAACGTACAAGCCGTTAACCGCAAGCGTGTTAGACGCTATTGAGATGTCATTGACATCGGTCAAAATATCGGTATTCTACTAACATAAATGCAGTGTCAATAGACTGTCGATGTAGTGACAATGGCTCATCAATGGTGATATTAACAACATTGCCATATCTGGAAAACTTAATCATTTCCTTAGAAATTTAAAATGTACCGTTTACCAAACTGTTACAAAGACATCGAAGACATTTGTATCAGTGGCAGTTTAGTGACAAGTTATTGGCCAATGGTCTCATACGAAAAGTGCAAAACTATTCCAACGACAGTCCAGCGACAGTCTATTGATGCAATATTAAAATAGCAGAATTGAGGCCCAGAATAGCTATGTATTGGTGTACCTGAATCAAAAGAGATCTGGGCACTCAAACACTCAATATTTAAAATGAATGTTCCTAGACTAGAGGGGGTAACACAGCAGACAGCTTAGGTGAGCGCTGACGCGTCGCATGGAGTCCCTTCTGAACCTATACCTGGGTCGCAATTCCCAGGCGCTGTCGAAGTCGCACGTGTTGCCCCCCATCAATCACGCCATGGACCCGGCATCCGCACGGTGAATCCATGTAACGCCAAGAAATAAGTCTTCAGAATCATCTTTTCAAACATATATACCTACTGCCTGGTGACCTGTCTGCTCGTTTGGTCCCTCTATCATTAAAAAGATCTTAATTAAATACATGGCTACTGTGTTCTGGGCTTTCGTTATTAATGTTGTGTTACTCTCCCTAACTGTATGGTTCTGAAACAGGTTGGGGTACAGCCAATGAACGAGCTGCAGCGGAAGCTGTGAAAGTCTTAATCTGGTTGTGCCGGAGGCCGGAGACGAGGCCTCAGTGGCAGGACTACTTCGACCTGATCCTGCTGAAACTCATCCACGCGTACGAGAGTCTAAACAAGGAACTCATCCGAGCTGTAGAGGCTGGGATGCCACATATTGCTCATGCTCTACCTGCACACCAGGTAAGGGGGTGACCACTAAAAACCTACGAATAATTGAAACTCATCGTCAGATCTATATGGATTTTAAATGGGACCATTTCGAAATAAACCTCTTTCGAACAAAAAAATAATTTTGAAAATCCGTCTAAATATGAAGGAGTTATGCCCGAATATACATAAAAAAATAATAAATAAACTTAAATTGCCTAACAATTTCATCATTACTCCGGTGCTGCAGATCATAACGTTTTAACTCTATCATCCTCAACGGCCTTTAGTAGTCCACTGCTGGACATAGGCCTCTCTGTAGAAAGGAGGTTTTGGTCTGTTATACCACGCTGGCCAGACGGGTTGGTATAGGGTTTGTTTCAAGTTTTCCTTCTCTCTGCAGTGCTGTTGTCCTGCGTAGTTAGCTGCCTTAGTTAGCTTCTATAACGATGGTCCTTGACCAATAAATACCCATCACGCAATAAATACTTGTATAATCCAAATTTAATATTTGTCTCTTAGTCTGAAGTCTTTTGTCTCTACCCACCCTGAAAGAAAAGAGGCGTGATACATGTATGTAATGGTATGGTTCCAGGTGCTGGCGCTGTTGAAGCCAGTGATCCGGACTCGCGGCTACCCCACGTCGCTGTGCGCGTTGAAGCTGGCTGCGGAGGTGGCCAAGGCCAGGCCTCACGAGCTCAGCGATGACATCGTCGGCCATCTCATGGAGGGGGTCGGACAGGTATGACTATTCTATTTATGACTACTGTATATCATTTGTACATTATATACATGAAATGGCGGTAGCCTAGTGGTTAAGGCGTTGGAATTGCGATCAAGAGGTCGTGGGTGCTATTCCTGACCAACGTGAAGCGACTCCTAACACAAGCAATTTAGCTTAGCGGGAGGGGCTAACGGGAATACTAGTAAACCTTTATATATATATAAAAAAGCCGTGTGGTGTGGTGGGACACCCGATAGGAACGAAGTTGTGACGATCGAGTAAAACTGATTCGACACGATTTTAATTACAACACCATCTATGAAAGCGGCTATTACCTACATATTTTTCAGTTGGTTTCTAAATAAAACAATTTATACATTGGTAAAAACTCTTTGAGAAATGATTTCCTATCTATTCGATAGACGGCGCTGAATGACTGACAAGTGACAATTCAAAATAAATAGTGATATGAAAAGTAATGATTTCCTATCTATTCGATAGATGGCGCTGAATATGACTGACATAAAACGTGTCGTTACAACTTTTCGTGAGATTTTTTCCGTCTAGCCCCCTTTCACAACGCGCGATAAGGAACTTCGTTCCAATAACCCCTTAAATTTGCTTTTAAACATACTTAAATATCACTAAATTATAGATTAATTACTACTAGACTCAGAACAGAGTTCGTTGATTTAAATATAAAAACCTTCTGTCGATTTATTGAATTTTGTGATTAAAACACTTATAAATCCAATCGTTACTTAACAAAAACCTTTATGGCACTGTAGCTCAAACTGAACTAACTAACGGCGAAGACGTGCCTGTATGGCGTAGCGGTTTAAGCGGTCGCCACGCCGCTTCCTACTACTACGAGTGTTGTGGGTTCCAACCCCACATGGGACGTCACTTTGTGTGATCCACAAATGTTTGTTTTGAATCTGGGTGTTCATTTCATGTATGTTTGTTAAGGTCCCTGCTCAGGATATATTCTTAATGCGGGAGTTGTCTTAAAAAATATATATATATATGTATACATATATAATTGATTATAATTTATGCTACTCATTATACCGCTAGAAAGTCCATTAAATCTTTTTAGAAAATTCTAAAGAATTGTTTGTGGTTACTACGATGACGTAATTCCGTATGCAATAGTTTATTTTTTATTTTTTACAGTTGGCTGATCACCAAAATAGTGCGGTTCGCAAAGCGGCCGTGTTTTGTATGGTGGCGTTTACTTTCGCGCTCGGAGAGGAACGGATGCAGCCTCATCTCAAGCATTTATCTGTTAGCAAGTACAGGCTTCTGCAGGTACGATATTATACAAATATTAGTGTAGGTTAAAGAATGGTTTTTTATAGTAGATGTGTAAAACTAGGCTGAACCAGATGGTCTTTCGAGCCTATATCGGCTCGAAAGACCATCTGCTATAATTAACAGGTGTTAACTTATCGTTTAGCAAGAAAAGGTTAGGAACTGAATTTTGATTTGGAGCCGAAATTTATAGTTTATTTTTGCAAGAAAACAACCTTATGTTGTGTAGTTGAAGTAGCAGTAATTTGTTAAGGAGTTGTGCGATACCCATAGTAGATAGTATGTATAGTATCGTCCGTTTGTTCCCAGGTGTACATAAGCAAGCAGCGCGAGGAGGGCGGCGGGGCCCGCGGTGGCGGGGCGGCGGGGGGCGGCACGTAGCGGCGGAGGCGCCGCGCGCGTGTGTCGTCGCGCGCCACGCAGACCGACCCGTGACGCTCCCGGGCTCCGACCTACTGATTATATCTTGTCGTTTTTACTTTCAAACGGAACTTGTTTCATTTGTCATTTGAAACTACGTCTCCGTTTATACGTATATATCTCTATCTCGTCTCTCCTTCGTAGCTGAGGATCTGTGGTTAGCATCATTGCATCCGGAAAGGTCCGCACCGGTTCCTGTCCAGTGTGTCACATATTTATTTGTTTATTGTTATTATTATTATGTATAGTTGTGAATAACATTTCTTACCAACTCTTTCTGTAACAAAAATTACTAGTTTCAAGAAACTAATTGTTTGCTATCTTAATTATTACGCATCACATCAAACAGCCTTTAATAGTCCACTACTGGTCCTAGACCTCTCCTTGGGAAAGTGGTTTTGGCCTACTTTGCCATGGTGACCAGACGGGTTTGTTAAGAGTTTGTGTCAAGTTTGTGGAAACAAAAACAAAAAATAAAACCCTTTGACGTCTGATAATAAACAATATTAAAATTAACAAATAAAAACAGGCATTACAAGTCTGTAATATATAATAAATAACAAAACAATTTTAATTTAATAAATAACTACAATATTAAAACACAATACATAACCTTATGTAAACAATATCTTAGAAATCGGATTTTTGTCCACCACAAATCAGAAAAACCAACAACTGGCGTGATAAACTCTATTTCAACTCTAATAGTAGACAGAAAATATCAAATAACTCATAAAATTAAATATGAACAATAAAAAATTGTTCTTTTAAAACAACTTTCATATTCTATGAATATAAACATGTTTAGTTGGTTTGTTTACGCTGTAAAAACTCAGAAATTTCTGCACTGATAGAGTTCAAATTTGGATATAATCTAAAACCCACTTGAAAGACTGTTTTATCTATTATTTGCGTCAGTTTTGTTCCTCAATTCTTGCACAAGTGAGACCACAATGTACCACAGCGAAGCATGACAGGGTCCATCTACTATTCTATGAATATAAAAATTGACGGTCACTGCAATCTAGTGGAAACCTCAGAGGCCCTCGTCACGGAGACCGCGTTCGTCGCTACGATTGGCCCGCACTGAAATCTCCACCAATCGCAACGCTAAACGCTCTCGCCGTCGAGAGCGAGGCGATGTGAAATAAACTTGCACTGTTCACCTTGCACCCTGTTCATCCCGTGGGGGTCGTAAAAGTAGACTAAGGGAAAAAACGACGCAGGACAACAGCACTGCAAAGAGAAGGAAAACTTGACACAAACCCAATACCAATCCGTCTGGCCAGCGTGGTATAGTAGGCCAAAACCCCCTTTCTAAGGAGAGACCTATGTCTAGCAGTGGACTGTTAAAGGCTGATGATATACTATATTTTAAATTTATCATTAAAACGACAAGATGTATACTAGTAACATTACATTGGCATTAAATTTATAAAAAATATGTTTCTAACAAAAATCTAAAGTATATTAATATAATATATAGATTTTTTTGTAGAAATACCAATATGTTGTTTTTAAAAGGGGTTGCGCGTCATATACGAGGGTTAGTTTTATTTACCAACACTGAAAATAAATTAGTATCGATTCTACTGTTGCAAAATTCTTTTAAACTAAAAAATTACAAATTTAATTCGTGTCAAACGAATTTCAACTTTAAAAACTTAAGACTAAGTTCAAATGTACAGAGTTGTGTATGAAATCGATATTAATGATTAAACGCTTATAATTTAAAGTACACCAGCTGTTAATAATAATAATAAAACTTTAATCTCAATATAATAATTGTTATACTTAGCTGGTGTACTAAAGAAGTCGGCCATTTTGTTACGAATACCGATTTATACCATTTTTATATTATACCATACATCTGTATATTGTAAACTAATATTTGTGAGGAAAATACCGTTTAAATAGAGTCGAAGAATTTGTGTTACAGTGGGTTAGTGATTCTACTACCGGTGTCTTATGACTTTCGTACCTTGCGGTAGTCGGTTTTATTACCCCGAGTGTGATAAAAGGGATACAGTTACGGCAGGACGCTTTAAGTTAGGTTTTAAATTAGTGGGGCACCCGAAAAGTATACACGTGAGTAAAACTGTAATGTCTTTTCAAAATACTAGCTGGTTACTGGAATCCAGTGGAATTTGGGACCGGGCAAAAAGAAAAACCTTATTACATTATAGGAATAGCCTAAGTTACTCCTTATATACACACCTTACACTACACTTATATACACACATACAGCCTGGTAGTAAAATATTATCAAAATCGGTACAGCCATTTAGAAGATTACGCGGAACAAACAGACAGACATACAAAAAAACTGGTTTTAAGGCATAGATATCGTGCAAATAACCGTGTGAGCATGAAAAAAACTATTTTGACATCACAAACAGACACTTCAATTTTATTTATTTGTATAAATAAATATGTTTATAAATGTAAATATAGACCAAGCCAAAACCCCTTACCTTCCCTGATTTAAAAATCTGTGACTAATAAAGTAGATTGAAGATTACCCGGAGCAAACAGAAAGAGAGACAGACAAAAAATATTTAAACGGGTTTTTAGGCATAGGTATCGTTCAAATAACCGTGTGAGCATGAAAAAATCTATTATTTTGACATTACAAACAGACATTTCAATTTATTTGTATAGATTAATAGTTGCGACTCATCGGGAACGCTTTATCAAGTCGTAAAGCGACCTGTCAGGTGAAACCCCCAACACAAAAAATATCACTACAGTTGTAAATCATTACCTACCGTTACAGTTCCGTGTCACCGGTGCGTTATTAATAAAAAAATAAATTGTATAACAGATTTATGGTATCCTATAAATAATGTGACAGGAAAACATTGTTAGTTTATTTATTGTCAAGGGAATAACGAAGAAAGGTTTAAAAGATATTAATTATGCTTGTAGAGGAGTAGAAATCGTATATAAAAATAAACTATTAACACAACTTGCTGTTAAATTCACAACTATGTGTTAAAAATTCCGAAAACAAATAATTAAAATAGAAAGGTAACTGTGATCGCAATCGGTGCCTTTGATCGAAACGAAACCGATGTACTGCTTCCCCACCACAAGCTTGGACATCCAATAAGTTTCGCTACCCGACTCTATGTCGTATATTAATGTTTAAAATCTTAAAACTCTTAAATCAACCAGTTATAAAATGCAATATTTCGAACTTAAGCGAAAATAACCCAAAAAAAAACACTCAGCTTTACATTGCTAGCGTATATAGTAGCTATGCCTTTTTATATACTATAAAAAAAATACAGTCGAATTGAGAACCTCCTCCTTTTTTTGAAGTCGCTTAAAAACGTCAGTGTCTACTCCTATATAGCGATAGAATACTTCGCGATGTTGTGTTATAGATAGTTCAACTCAGTTGTGCGCGCGGCCCTATGTGTGCGTGGGCTTGTAAATATACAACTTTCATTCGTGTAGCAGTGACGCGATAGTCGGACGACGACTGCCATACCATACAAGCCCACGCACACATAGGGCCGCGCGCACAACTGAGTTGAACTATCTATAATACGCTATTAGTGTACAGACAGATTTTGTATATGTCGATATATCTATGTGCTCGTGGCGCGCCGTGGACACTATACTTGCCGCTACAAGAGAAACATACCTTTATTTTAAACTTTATATTGTATAAATTAGGTGGAAAAATTAATAACTTCGGCAGTTGTAGTGATCTCGGCAAAATAAATACAGCCGTGAAATGCCTATCTGTGCTATGGTCTAGTGGAATGCTCTTGGCATTTAATATTTATCTATATATATATATCTGTAATTTATAACAAAGGGATGCAACAAAATTGCTAGGATTACATAATAATAGGAATCTATCTCCGACTACTGGGAATTTTTCTCGGACAACTGGGAATATTCCTAATGGTCAGATAAAGTATCAAATTTTAATGATATGTTACGTCTGTTTAAATTTTAAAAACATCTTTGCAATCATGTTTGAATATGGGTAATTTTTTTTCCAGAAATTTATAGAATAAAAATTAATATTACGAGTATTCCAATTTATGAAATTATGTGTAAATAAACTGGCTTTTTAATAAGAATCACGTATAAATAGCTTACTATTTTAGTGATGCTGTTTGTAAAACTACTTAGGTGGCTCTCTCTACTCATCTGCCAGAATTAAGAAAGATTTCCTTAAAAAAACAACAGGGACAGTGTGTTTCAGGTGATAAATTTTGACGTTTAAATTGTAGGGTTACAATGAATTAAAACAAATCATGTTCATTAGTCTAAAAACCATTCAAATCCCTCAGTAATTAAATAAAAAATAGAACTGATCAGTTTTCCGAATAAATTTAGATTTCAAATAAATCCTCACTAGCCATAGATTAACTAACTCATCATATATTAAAAAAATAATATTGTAAGCTCGTATTTTGAGCAAAGTTTATTTTTCTTTGTCTGTTCCCGTCACGGGTTACAATGTTAAAAAAAAAGTAATTTATACAGAACAATATTTTCCCAAACATGTGACAAGAATAATAGTACTAAAATATGCCTTAACTTTAAATATAAGAAATTTAAAAATGTTTTAAAATAGAAAAAGAAAATAAATATGAAATGACTAAGTCAGATTTTTTTTACGTTGGCAATTCATTTTATAATGGTATAGTCTCAGCGCTATTTAATAAAGAAACGAATGCAGAACTATCATACTTTTTCATATAAATTATTGTTTCTTGTTTTGCATTAGTTAAATGTTTATTATTTAATAGCGTACAGACCATATCCAAGTTCAATGAATAACACACAGTATAAACGAAACATCATGTTAGCAAGAATGGTATTTAAGAATGTGGTTTACCAACTAAAGTTATTAACAAATGTGTGCGAAAGACTAACGAAATTTTAGTTAAATCCGCAACTTTTAGTTAGGTGCGTCGTAAATTCGCGCTCAACTA